CCGAGAGGCCGGGGGCACCCCACCTCCGAAGTGGCCCGAGCGAGCCCCAGGCTCCAGGCCCCGATAAGCGGCCGCCAAGGAGTGAGCCGGTGTGTACCTGGACGCCCACCCCCGGACACAAAGAACCACCAACGCACCGATGTCTGAGGGGGTCCGCCACTGGCAGGGGAAGTGGTGGTAGGGGGAGATAGGCCTCCAAACCTTGGAGGTCCTGAGATGTCCCCAGAGAGGTGGCGCCTGACACCCAACCTGACATATAGACACAGACATACAGGCACACACAGATACAAACATCCATTCCCACCCTCATGCTCTCATATGCACTTACTCCACACTCAACCAACGTGGAGACAGACATAAAGAGACGTTGTACACACGATCACACTCCCCAAGCGTACTCTACAAACCGGGTCTAGGTGCCCCCGCCTCTGGAGGGGGGAACTGCACCCAGACCCAGGTGGTGTTTCCCTTTTCCCTGCGGTGGGAGGAGGCAGACCGCCCCGACTCCACAGCAGCAGGAAGGCTCCACACTCCAGACCGCAGTCGGACGGCCAACTCCTCCTCCTAGCCCCCCTGCTCCAGCAGGTCGCAGAGAACGGGGGTGAGAGAAGACTCCAAACCTCCCTCCAGCCGCTCATTGTAGTGTTGATGCATGTGTGTTTTAAGGTGCATTTAAAACCCAGGAGGGCTTGGAGCTACCTGCCAGAGAGCAGCAGGTAAGCGCATGGTCCCTCCTGCTAGCCCTCAATGTCTACGTGTATTTAAAATTGAGAGGTGGGCAACGATGCCAGGGGTGGGGCGTACACCCTGATGGTACTTTGGACTCCGTGTATCGTGCCCACCCCCAAGATCCTATATGTATGTGTAATGAGAGTGTGAGTAATGTGAATGTCTAAGTTGTGGGATAAAATTGAGGCAGAGGCAGCCAGAAGGGGACAGAGGGGGGGGGGGGGGGGGGGGGTAGCCTCCTCTGCACCCTGGTGACATACCCCTACTCCAAGGCCCTGCATGTGTGGGTGGTTGTGGTGGAGCGGGAAGGGGGAGGCAGCTGGAGATGGGGAGGGAAGGAAGGGAGGGGCAAGTGACCCCTCCCTGGGGCCAGCTCCCCCGCTGACCCCAGTAGGCACCCCCACACTCCGCGACCCGCCAGGGAAAGGGGGCCCAGGCCCATCCAGACCGGGGCCCAGTGCAGCAGCGCCGCCCGGCCCCACAGAGCCCGGGACAGTCCACCCAACCCCACCACAGAGAAAACTGCACCCACCCCACCATCCACTCATCTTCCAGACTACATAAGACAATAAACACCCAGGCTGAGATCTTCCTCCACCTCTCCTGTATCTCCCCCTCCTGCAGAGGGAGCTCCTGAGGAGAGGAAAGCTCCTGCAAGATGTGACAATCTCCCCCACCAGTTGAAGAGCCCCCCAGGTGGCTCGATGCACCGGCGGCACCCTGCTCCAGGGCTGGGCCCCCATGCACCCACCCGCCCACAACCCCGGCAACACACCAACCAGGACCCAAGCCCCCGAGGCCCGGTCCGGGTCCCAGCCCAGAGACGGAGCACCCCCAGAACCTCACGCCCATCCCGGACCCACCCAGGGGCAGCCAGGCTACCAGGTCAGTAACCCACGTCCGTCAGCACAGACCCTCCCCTAGCCCCGCTGCACGCAGCCGCGAGGAAACAGTCACCTGAGAGCCAACAGAGCCCCTAACCGGACATGACCGCTACCCCGGGTTGAGCCCCCCAAGGAAGATGCCTCCGGGGAACCCCCCGACGCCCTAAGCCTGTCTCTACCCCCACACCAATCACAACAGTGAAGGCGGGACCAAACTATGACCCCCCACCCCCACTAGGTGATGGAGCTGATCAAAGGAGCCCAGAGCAATTGATCTGATGTGGTGGCAGAGGCTGTATCAAGACTAATGTAATAAAAGTGGTGGATATATATAGTGATACATTAGATTTTGTTTTACATGAAACAGTAATTGTAACTAGCAAAAGACAAATTTAGAATGCTTTTACTACCACTCTTGCTATCCCTAGGTACTATATCTCTCTGAGCATGGCTGGCTAGCTGGAAGCTGATAGTTGCCTGCTGGATCCATCTGGTTATACACCTGCTCTGCCTTTAAGGATGAACAGCATAGCCCACTTAGGGCAGAATGAACCATTGACCTTTAGCTTAAAAAGGAACCTGACACAATATAGTATTTGATTTATACACCTCCTTGTTGAGTTAATGTTCCATCAATGAAACAGTGAAAAATCTGCTCAGTTACAAATGACCATTATCAAAATGTAACCATACTCATGGGATAGATGGACTGCTTTCAAACAAAGGTTCATGAGCGTCAGCTCCTTCCAAGCCATAAACTCCCCCACGCAATATATAATAAGCCTCTTCCACTTGGCTTGCATGCGTATGCTGCACAATAAATAAAAAATAAAGAAACAGCCCCCCTAAGCTTCACCAGCTGCAGAAGAACACATTCCTGCTGGAAAAGCCGACACCTGTGACTCAGTGAACTAGATGTGTCCTTTTAAATCAGCTGGAAGTAGGTCAAATGCCCAGTTAGAAAGTCAGAAAGAGGCTTCCAGTGATTATGGCTCTAAGTATTATATTCGTAGTTAACCTACTGTTTTCCTTTCAGTTAACTGACTAATGGTTCTGCCAATTAAATTACTGAGCATGGTGCTGTGGATTGGTTCATCAGTGTTATTGTACTAGAAAACCTCCACAATTGTTAAAAGGACTGCCATGAAATTTCATGGTTTACACATGACGCTAGTGATCCCATGACTTCCTGTACGAAAACAACAGGTGTCTTTAATTGTGATTTTGTGAGTGAACATCTAAGTATTTAATAAACTGCCATAAAGGCTCACACACCTACACAAAGACCCACGCACACGTCCCTTAGAATGATTACCGTGGTGATCCTTTAACCTGTATTCTAGCACCATCATCAGGTCAAAGTTTTGATGTGTCTAATATTTTGGTTTATTACCTGTATAAGTGTAATTCGCAACAATCTGATCAAAATCCGTTAGCTTTATTTAATTGCATTTAGGAAAAGCTACCATTTACCCAATATTTTATTTTCTCTCTCCCTTGAATAAGCTGTAAAAAACGACTCTTGTCCACCCACAGCTTACTACATTGACGAATGAACTGGATCACCCATCATCTTTACCAAAAAAGGAAAATGCACTCAGCTACAGGTCATGATCCAAATAGATGTTTTTGGTTTATATCACGTTGTGTTGCACTCATGCTAATGACGCTGCAAAGACAGCCAGCAGCCAGAAGTTGAAACAGACAGGAGTGCAGCATTCCCCAAGGGACAAAAAAAAAAAGCAATTAATACTTCAGTTTTCTACAGTGTACAATGCAACATCCATCAGAGAATGGATCAGAGAAAAACAAGAAGAAAAAAACAGTTCTTCAAGTTAGATGATGCTAAATCCTATGCATCCTTAGCTGACTCAATTCCCCGAATCTCCCTTTTCCTCACTCTCCCTTCCTCTCTGCTGTCTTCTGTGATCAGCGTTACTCTCCTCTCTGAGCCGATTGCTGCTCTCATTCTCCTGCCACAGCGAATTCCTGTCACACTTCTTTATAAACAGCTACCAGGGACTGGATTAATGTACAGTTTTAGGATAGTATTGCAAACTTAAAAAACCCCAGGAACAATATGACCTTATTTTCATTTTGATTTTAGCTAAGTAGAGTGATGCAATTCTTGATTTGCCTTTAGAGTCTTTGCATTTTCATTCCTCTAGCCTGGGCATAGCCAAGTCCCCCCTCCTTAGTCAAGTCCACCCACTCACTACTGCCATGCTTTCATCATCTTAAAAATGAAACCATGCAAAGGGGAAACCAGTAAATGCACTTAGTAAAACATTATTTCCTCTCACTTTAGCTTGACATGTACAGGTGCAAAATGAAATGAGGGTCTGAAAGCTATAACTCTTTAGGGTAGGCTTTTCTAAGTAAGGTTTTACAAACATTAAATAAAATATTAACACACCCAAGTGTTTGGCAGGTTGTCTGTGCAGGCTGTGCAGGCTGTGCATGTGTGCGTTCATGCTTATTAGAGTGGTTGTGTGCTGGCAGTGAGTGGATTAGGGGAGATCTCTATAAATGGATCAAAAGGGACCAGAAGCAAAGATCACAAATCACATCAGTGGCATTAATTTAGCACAGGAGAAACGTCTGTCCTTGATTTGGTGGCGATAAATCAAGAAGCTGCAAAAGCAGGAGAACGTCATATATAGAGTAGAAAAAAAGCCGTCTAACCACAAAAACACCATGAGGGGAGCTCAGGAAGGCAGACCTAACAGCAAAATCAGTAAAAGAAACCGTGCGAATATTCAGAAATGAAAAGGTTATGTTAAATAATCATTCTACGGTTACAGAGGAAGGTCATTGTGTCTCATTTTTTAAAAACACTTTTGCTAATCAGACATATTCCACACACTATAGTTTTCTAGGGTGGAGTACTACAATTGGGGTTAGTGAGGTAGTGTATCACAACACAAACCACCCTGTGTACAGCCTGCGTTTCTGTAAAAAAATGAGACAGCTTTTCATGCAATAGTATTTCTGTTTATCCGCATTGTAAATACTTTAATATCTCTTTAATGTCAGCATGAACCAGATTTTATTTCAGAGGATAAAATCGTATTCCGACTAAGCACCTGCATGTCTTGAGGCAGAATGATCATGAACAGCAGCACATTCAAGCTTGTGTGGTTTCCTGTACAACACGCTTCGACATTGTGATCCTGCATTGGCTTTGTAAACTGCTTTTGTTTTGATGTCTATTTGGACTTGATTCCATCAAGGCAAAGGAATAATATGTCTCTTACTGTGTCTGCATTTTAGTAATAGTATTTTCACCTATGTCTATGTTTAAGATCAACATGCAACATCCTCAGCAAGCAAAAAATACAATGACCAGAGACAAGAGCTGCTTCCGATTGTGTCGTTGCCACCCACCTATGCTTTGGGTGACGGTCCTCAGTCTCACTAGCAGCTCACCGAGGGCCATCTCCTCTGTCTTCATCCACAGGATCATCCTCCAGAGGGACAGTGGAAGACCAGCTGTCCAGCTAAGAGACGCTTTTGTAGGAAGAAGAGACAGCTTGCCTGCTTTTTGCTGAGCGGTGCTATGGAAGAGTGGATGGTGGTGAGGGAGACTGTTGAGTTGAGCAGAAGGGAAGAGGGAGATGCGACAGGGTAAACGAACCTAGGATGTGAGTTAAAAATCTAGAGGAAAGAGAGGTAAAAGGGGGTGTGCGCTTGTGAAAAATGAATGCTCTCCAGGATGGAGTGGATGCTGCTGAGACAGATGAGGAAATGATGCTGATGCTGAAGCTGTTATGGCTGTGACAGCCTCAGCCACAGTGACGAGTCTCCTGCAGGAAAATGCAGCGCAAAGGATGGTGAAGGAGGGAGACGGGGAGGAGGTGGAGCAGCAGACAGCCTCATTCACACATGCATGCTTCTGCCTCAGCACACATGATGGTGCAGACCTGGCAGGCAGATTGGGGGAGGGGATGTGAAGGTCAGCATAACAGTTTTGCACAAACAGCTGATCCAATAGTGACATCCAGCGTAAAGGAAAGGGACAACAGCTTTGTCATGAAACATTCTTATCTGCAGAAACAGAGACGGCAATGGTACCAATGCCGGCCATGCATCATTGATTATGCTGCATTGCCACCATGTGACGGCACATGGTTATGACAAAATACAGTAGGATCATCTTCGGTAACCCTCTTTGCAAATTCCATGTGTAAACAAACTTCACAGACTGCATATATAAGAGCTTTAATTACATGCATCCTTGACACAGCTAATGTTTTAGCGATGTCTTGTGTAGACTCAAAAGCTGAAAATACAAGATAATCCAGGGAAATTCAAAGAAAATGTCACTCAGACAATAGCAATACAGCATTTAATCCATAAGTTAGCAGACAGACCTCTTAAGTGAGGACCATCATTATTGTGTACTTTTCCATTCAGGTGACACTAGGTCTCTTCTGGGGACTCTGACCCCAGTGACCTTATATTTTTTAGCACTAATGTAGAACAAGAGGTTTATTGTTGTTTACACGCACACTGTGTCTGAGGAGGATGTGCGGAAGTGCTTCAGGAAGGTGAACGCACGCAAAGCTACTGGTCCGGACGGGATTCCCGGCCTCAGGTCATGCGCGGCTCAGCTGGCTGGAGTGTTCACGCACATCTTCAACCTTTCCCTCTCTCTGTCTGTAGTCCCAGCCTGCTTCAAAATGGCCACCATCGTCCCTGTACCCAAATCCTCCACCATCTCCTCATTGAACGACTGGCGACCTGTAGCCCTGACCCCCATCGTAAGCAAATGCTTCGAGAAGCTGGTCAGGGACTTCATCTGCTCTGCACTACCCGACTCACTGGACCCTCTACAGTTTGCATACCGCCACAACAGGTCCACTGATGATGCCATAGCCCTGACACTACACACTGCCCTGTCACACCTGGAGAAGAGAGACACGTATGTGAGGATGCTGTTTGTAGATTACAGTTCAGCATTCAATACCATCGTTCCCTCGAAGCTGGACAGGAAACTGCAGGATCTAGGACTGAGCAGCTCCCTCTGCAGCTGGATCCTTAGCTTCCTGTCTGACAGACACCAAGTGGTCAGACTGGGCAGCATCACCTCATCCCCCATCACACTGAACACTGGTGCTCCACAGGGGTGTGTACTGAGCCCTCTCCTGTACTCACTCTACACCTACGACTGCACAGCCACTAACAGCTCCAACATCATTGTGAAGTTTGCGGACGACACTACAGTGGTGGGTCTTATCACCAACGGTGATGAGACGGCTTACAGGGAGGAGGTCAGCGCCCTGACCCACTGGTGTCAAGACAACCATCTCACCCTCAACGTCGCAAAGACAAAGGAGTTGATAGTGGACTTCCGGAGGTGCAGAGAAGTACACACCCCCATCACCATCAACGGCGCTGCTGTGGAGAGAGTGAGCAGCTTCCGGTTCCTTGGTGTACATCTGGCTGAGGATCTTACGTGGTCAGTACACATGAACAAAACAGTGAAGAAGGCGCAGCAGCGCCTCTTCTTTCTCAGGAGACTGAAAAGATTTGGCATGAGCCCCCGCATCCTCAGGACCTTCTATCACTGTGCCATTGAGAGCATCCTCACTGGATGCATCACCACCTGGTATGGCAACAGCACCGCCTACAACTGCAAAGCTCTCCAGCGAGTAGTGCGGTGCTCTGAACGGATAATTGGAGGTGAGCTTCCCTCTACAGGAAGCGCTGCCTGAGGAAAGCGGGGAGGATCATCAAGGACTCCAGTCACCCCAGCCATAAACTGTTCAGACTGCTTCCATCAGGAAGGAGGTTCTGCAGCATCCGGTCCCGTACCAGCAGACTGAGAGACAGCTTTTTCCATCAGGCCATCAGACTGCTGAACACGTCATAGACACCTCAGCTTCACTACTGGAACTTCAACATTATGCACTCCACACTGTATATAAATGCCACTTGTTTTGCACATATTCAACTCTGTATATTTTATATATTTTATTATTATTATTATTATTATTATTTTTTTTTTACTATTTAATTTGTAAAAATGTGTATACACACTCACACACACACACACACACACACACACACACACACACACACACACACACACACACATAGGAAAATATTTAGTATACACATCCAGAAATCCATACACTATTATATATTGTACATATATTTATTAGTTTCAGGTTGGCCATTCTTGTATTTTGCTCGTTTGTGTTGTTGTGTTTGCACATCTCTGTTGCTTGTGGGGCTCGCACACAAGAATTTCACTCGCATGTGCTGTGCCAGTGTGCCTGCACATGTGATGTGACAATAAAAGTGATTTGATTTGATTTGATTTATCTGTCATTGCTCTACTCCAGTTATGTCAGATGTTCACTCATTTTCTTACACTGCCATAGTTGTACGGCAGGGATGTTCTTGCCATCTGTAGAGGCTGAAGTCACTGAGGTGTTCGTTGACGGGGGTGACGCGATGTCACTGGTATGTCTGAATTCATTAAACAGTCGAATAACTCCAGCCTTACTTATTGACAATAAGATGGGCACATTCTGGCTTGACTGGTTGACACCTCAAGATAGAAGTGGTATTGTCAGTTAGTCTAGAGAGAAATCTGTGACATTGCATGATGAACTTTCTTCTCGTTTATATCATGAGGACTAACCCTAACTGCCCTAACCCAGAACTGCAAACATTTATGATAACTGGCAAGTCTGGCGAGTCTTTCAAATTGTTGTGGAAGAATTTTGCCCCACTCTTCTTTACAGAATTTGCAAATTGCATTGCAGTTTTCAAGCATAAATGGCTTGTTTAACTTCATGCCAAAACATGTCAATTGGACTCAGTTCAGACTTTTTTCACTCCAAAACCTACCGTTTGTTTTGTGAGCCATTCAGAGATGGACTTGCCTGTATGTTTCGGATCATTGTCCCACTGCATAAACCAAGTGAGCTTGAGCTTTAGGACACAAACTGGTGGAAATCCTCTTTTAGGATTTTCTGGTAGAAAACAGAACATTCATCAATTACGGCAAATTGTCCAGGTCCTGAAGTGGCAAAGCAGCCTCTGACCATCACACTATCACCAACATGTTTGATTGTTGCTTTAATGCTCTTTCTATGAAATGCTGTGTTAGTTTTATGTAAAATGTAACAGAACTTAAACTTTCCAAAAAGTCCAACTTTAGTCTTGTAGTCCACAGAATTTTTACCTAAAAGACTCTGTGTGTTTTTTTTGGTCAGGAGTGGTTTTCGCCAAGTCTCCAATGGATGCCATTTTTGCCCAATTGCTTTCTTATTGTTGAATCATGAACTCCGACTTTAACTGAAATAAGTGAGGCCTGCAGTTCTTTTGATGTTTTTCTGGTTTCTTTTGTGGCCTCCTGGATGACTTGTGAGTGTACTTCTGGAGTGATTTTGGCAAGCTGGCCACTCTTGGGAAGGTTCACCACTGTTCCAAATTGTCTCTATTAGTGAATAATGGCTCTCACTGTGATTCACTGGAGTCCCAAAGCCTGGGAAATGGTTTTTAACCATTTCCAGACTGGTAGATGACTTTGTTTCTCATCTGTTCTTGAGTTGCTATGTGTGTGGCCAAATACAAAGTTCTACAGGCAGGATGGAGATGCAGCCCAGTGACTGCGTAGAGCTAGCGCCAACTTGTGGGTGGAGCATTTTGGTGAAGTTTTGATGAACTGTGACATACTATATTGCTGAAAATATTCACTCACCCATTGAAGTCAAGTCATTGAATTCAATCACTTCCATGGCTATGTGTGCAACTTGTCTGCTAGCTAGCTAATGTCCAGCTAACTTCACTCAGAGATGGAGAAAGAAAGACAGGTCAGGACAGGAATACCTAGTTAAAGGTAAGGACTGCTCAGTGGTATTTAATAAACTGGAAATATATGCAAGTTCTCAATTGTTAAATCAGATTTTGGATATGTATTTGATGTGAATTTATGTTATTCTAAATTGAGAGACATCCTGTAAAACAAACTACAGTGTGCTAACTCTACGGGAGGGGATTAGGGCCACTGGGGGGGGGGGGGGGGGGAAGGATTCTGAGATTGATGTCAGAATTCTAACTAGTTAGAATTCTAACTAGTTAGAATTCTGACTAGTTAGAATTCTGAGAGAAAAGTCAAAATTCTGAGATTAAAATAAGCATTCTGACATTTTCTCAGAATTCTGAGTCAGATTTCTAAACATTTTTTCAGAATTCTCTTTCTCAGAATTCTGACTTTTTTCTCAGAATTCTGAATCAGAATTCTAACTTTAATCTCAGAATTCTGAGTCGGAATTCTAAGAAAATGTCAGAATGCTTATTTTAATCTCAGAATTCTGAATCAGAATTCTAACTTTAATTTCTGAGAAAAAAGTCAGAATGCTTATTTTAATCTCAGAATTCTGAGTGTGAATTCTAATTTTAATCTCAGAATTCTGAGTCAGAATTCTGACTTTTTTTTTCTTCAGAATTCTAACTTTAATCTCGGAATTTTGAGTCAGAATTCTGACTTTTTCTCAGAATTCTGGCTATAATCTCAGAATTCTAACTTTAATCTTGGAATTCTGAGTTAGAATTATAACTTTAATCTCAGAAATCTGAGTCAGAATGCTGACTTTAATCTCAGGATTCTGAGAAAAATGTCAGAATTCTTACTATAATCTCAGAATTCTGAGAAAAACGTGAGCATTCTGACTTTAATCTCAGAATTCTGACTCTGGATTCTGACTTCTTTTTTTTTTTTTTTTTTAGAATTCTGAGTTGGAATTCTGGCCTTAATATCAGAATCCTGAGTGAGAATTCTAACTTTAATCTCAGAATTCTGAGTCAGAAGTCTGAGTGTAATTTCAGAATTCTGAGTGAGAAATCTAACTCAGGATTCTGAGAAAAATGTCAGAATTCTTACTATAATCTCAGAACTCTGAGAAAAACGTGAGAATTCTGACTTTAGTCTCAGAATTCTGACTCTGGATTCTGACTTGTTTTTTTTTTTTTTAGAATTCTGAGTCAGAAGTCTGAGTGAGAAATCTAACTTTAATCTCAGAATTCTGAGTGAGAATTCTGACTTTTTTCTCAGAAATCTGACTATAATCTCAGAATTCTAATTTTAATCTCAGAATTCTGAGTCAGAATTCTGACTTTTTTTCTTCTTCAGAATTATAACTTTAATCTGAGAATACTGAGTCTGAATTCTAACTTTAATCTCGGAATTTTGAGTCAGAATTCTGACTTTTTTCTCAATTCTGGCTATAATCTCAGAATTCTAACTTTAATCTCGGAATTCTGAGTTAGAATTATAACTTTTTTCTCAATTCTGGCTATAATCTCAGAATTCTAACTTTAATCTCGGAATTCTGAGTTAGAATTATAACTTTAATCTCAGAATTCTGAGTCAGAGTGCTGACTTTAATCCCAGAATCCTGAGAAAAAAAGTCAGAATTCTGACTAAAATCTCAGAATTCTGTGAAAAAAGTCAGAATTCTGACTAAAATCTCAGAATTCTGTGAAAAAAGTCAGAATTCTGACATTTTTCTCAGGATTCCGACTTTATTCTCAGAATACTGGATTCTGAGATACGATAGGGCCACTGGGGAAAAAAAAAGAATTCTGAGATTAAATTCAGAATTCTTACTAGTTAGTTTGTTAGTTTGCTGAAGTGTGATGGACAGTGTGCTGGGTGGAGCTGGGTTACATAAAGGATAGCAGAGATAAAAATGAATTTAGCTGAGTGGCATTCACTGAAATTAACCTTCATAGCTACTTTATACCATCTAGTATAAACAAAATATTGTCAGTGTATAAGATGGAAATCAGCCAAGACCATTCATGAAACATCTGCTTACATCTAGTTGAATTCAGTCGTGCAAATCCACACAGAGCAGTAAACCTAATAGTAGCAGCAGTAGGCCAGATCGGCTGATCACAGCCTATACACTAAGAAACCCCACTTGAGCTCACAATAAAAATTTTCAGCTGTGATTCTTTACCCAATGCTGTGCTACTACGACCAATTTTAGGGTTCCCCCACCTGCCAAGTTTCACTTTAACACTCCCCTTTTTTCCATAACTGATTCAAGCAGTGTAGATTCATAAGGACTCATTAGACTGAAATAAAGTTTGCATTCCCATTTGTATTCCCACACTATGTTAATGTGATTTTAATTACATGAATATAACATAAGGTTCAACTAGCTTTCCACAGAAATAGCTGGTAGAAACATCTTCAAAAGAGCTACTTTGAGTACGTTTCAGAGCCCGTACTTTTTCACTTTTACTTGAGTAATGAAGTTGAATCAATACTTTAACTTTCATAAAATTTCTGTACTTTTGCTTCCTCTACAAAGCAGCTGCCATCCAAGCATTACATCAGCAAGTGCAACGCACTGAATGCAGTGGTGTAAAGCACACCACTACTGGACTCTAGAGGAGCGGAAACATGTCCTTTGGAGTGATGAATCACACTTCTCTGTCCGGCAATTCCCAGAACAGTGCTTGTGTGACTGCATTGTACCAAGTGTAAGTTGGGACAACTCCTCCCCCCCAAAAGTTAGGTGGAGGGGGAATTATGCTACAGGGCTGTTTTTCAGGAGTCGGGCTCGGCTCTTGCAGAAAGCCTTCCCAGATGAGTTGACGCTGTTGTAGCTACAAAGGCTGGGCCGACATGTTCAATCCTATCGATCAAGAATGAAATGTTACTCAGTTGCATCTACGTGTGATGGCAGATGAGCAAATACTTTTGGTGATATAGTTTATAACACAAACCATGGCAGGACAAGTGTTTTCACTCTTTATTACAAGCAGAATGACAATACAGTGCTTTGCCCTCATTTGCTACAGACAGGCTGGCAAAAAGTCAACAGGTGAACTTTTAAAATCTTTTATCCAAAACGGAAAAAAAGTAATTTCTCAAAACCTGTTTAGTAATACAAACAGTGCCGTACTAAAAAGGTATGATATGAAGTGTGCTGCTCAGAGCACAGAAGTCGACATATCAGACCTTTGCCAAGCTCAGGAGTGACAAGATGAGCACCTGCTGTTGTGCTGATGGACTTAGAAAAAAGCAGTTTGACATTCTGATCAGCAGTAGAAGGCTGGTGTGATAAATCCATTGCGACAGAGCTGACACATACAGACAGTTCATTCCTAGTCAAGTTATTTGGTCACTTCTTTTTTTCCCCTCCCCTTCTCACCCAATACAATCTTGTTAGAAAAATAACTTGTGAGGAAGAGTGAACCATAAACCCCAGCTGACAAGACAAGACCTGGTTTTGAATGGTCAAACAGATCTGTTGTAAAACAAAGTGCACTGTGTATAACTATTGGTAAATCTAATGAATCTTAGTTTTTTCCTCTCGTTTTGGTTACAAACTCGACCACATACTCTAGCATAGAGTTAAAATATAGTCTTCTCTCTGAGATACAAAAGTAGCAAAAAAAAAATATACACAATGGACAACACAAAAATTGACTAAGTGGTGAAAATTTGAAATGTGGAGGAATTTGCTACTAAACATGTCTGAATTACAACAAATGCTTCCCCGTCATATCACAAAAGTTACATTATTATTGTAGAATATGACATTTAGACTATGTCTCGATACGGTATGGCAACGGCACAGTGAGGTGGGACACTGTGTTACAAGCACCAAGTACGTTCCTTTTATCGCTGAGGTCGGGATGTTGAGCCCCTCCACACCTGTGGAGGCTTGTGGAGTGAAAACTGAAAGGAAGAGTCCAGATTAATGATTTTATACATATTGGCAAATGGTGATGTGTATGAAACTGTATAAATGTATAAAAAAAAAAAGAAGAAGAAGAAAATCTCACATTCATGACTTCCAGAGTCAGTAACTTGCTATGTAACCCAACAAAATTCTGATTTTTAGAAATGCAGAAAAAGAGGTTCACCGAAAATGAGCTACAATCTTCAGCTGGAGGACGTGATGGACAAATCACTTCAACATTCTCATTGATTTGATTGTGACATCGCCGATTCAAGTCTCCCACCTTCTTACAAGAAATGAAATCTATCCAACACCCCTTCTCACCACAATATAGATCAATATTGTTTTTTTAAATTTACATCCACACATCAATAGTGACTGACATCAATAATTTTCGAACAGTACAAAAAAAAAAAAAAAAAAAAAAAAAGCCTCATGGAATTATGTGACACAGAGACAGCCCCTTATAACGTGACAACATTAGCATTCTTACGTTAACTTTTGCATAACACGGAGCACAGCAGCAAACACACGAGCACAATGCAACAGGGAGGAGTAGCAAGTCATTTAGGACATCCACAAACAAACACGCAAACAAGTCCCAGGCTGCTGCTGTTACCCTGCACAACCACGTGGTGGCAGGAGAGGGTGCAGTTTTGCTAACTGTTCAGGGAAAAGGAAAAAAAAAAACACAAGTGCCATGAAAGGTTTGGTGATGAATGATGTCTGGGACAAAGAGGGATGTGGAACAACTGAGAGAAGAATAAATCAGCATGCAGAGAGAGATCTGACATGCTACGCTGACAGATAAGGGAAACAAAGCTCGACACAATTGTGAGGGTAAAAGAAAGTAGGAGGAATAATAGACTCATTGTACTGTATATATTTATATCTATGCTCTTTGAACCTCCTTGTACTCTCACAAATGTGTTTAAAGTGACCACATATAATCAGTTTAAAAGGGAAAAAAAGGGCATCTATGAATTAAGGCAGGGTGGCTAAAATACTGCACATCCCTCTTCAGATTTCCCCCGCCTCTCTCCTTCAGCTGATGGTTGTGTGTAAGGCTTTGTAAAAACATCACTTATGCTTCTTTTTTTCCAGTTTTTCTAAATCTAAACACCTTTCTCCTTTGGCTCCTAGCCTGCTGCTGTGTTGTTACCTGTAAGGCAAAGGTGTGTCACATACAAACATACAATAAACAGGCAAAATTCATGCGTACTCACGCTCATGCACACGCACGCACACCTAAAGGGCTGAGCTTGAAGGCTATCCCCCTTACTTGGCCAGACCACAAAATGTACATAAATGTTTCCGACAAACATTTACAAAGAAGCGAAAAAAGGGGACGCAAAAGTGGAGGACCAGGCAAGAGTGTCAGACTGAAAATGAGACGAGGAAATACAAAAAGGTTCAACAGTTCAAACGGCACAGCTCCACAGTGCGAGAAGCATTTTCGCACATGGTTCTCCTTTTGCTCATAAACTTTTTCAAGTAAGAGTCTGAGCAGGGAATTTGCTGAATCAAACCAAAAAAAAAAAGAAAAAAAAAATGAGACAAGTATGTGAATTAGGAGTAAGGGCAATACTATCTAAAGCGTTTTTCACTCAGGTGTAGCCCAAAAATGCACATGGTGAACTTAGCATGGAGTGTCCATGCTTCAGATGTGTTTGAACATGTCTGCGTTGTGTAATTCACGGATCTCTGAGATGCAGAAGCTTCAGAGTCTGCATCTGTGTTCACACTGAGGTTTCCGGCCCAGGAGCGTAGTAGGCGAACCCTGCCCCAGAGAGACGGAGCATGTAAGGGCTGAGAGGACACAATTCTGTCCCTCGGCTCTCTGCCAAATGGGCCAGGAGTTTCTGGGGTAGAGGGTCAGACCTGCAGAGCGACAGTGACTCTGCGGTGCCAAGGTGGAGGTGAGAGGAGTCCGCGCTCGTGCCTTTGCAGGATCGACAGAAGGACAGTGGAGTCACGGCCGCCACGCTACCCGGCAACAGCTTCTGATGATCCTGCACAAAAACAGAGAATCCACCGTCATAAGACATTTCAAGCGATAGAAGAGGAAACTGGAGGAAAAGAAACATGCAGATGAAATTATAGAATTTGCGAGAAAATCTGACACATGCACACGAAAGGCAGAATTATTTTCAGAAGGTTTAACATAGTTATTTGGTGGTCTGCATATTTATTTATTTATTTTTTAAATGTGAAAAGTAACCTTGACTCTACTTTAAATGCTGAAAAGAACATACTCAATAACAATAAACCTTCTGAAAACAACCCATCATGATTAGCAATCATGTTCGATTAAGCATGCTTGTGTAATGAAGACAAAACTCACTTGCAATTCTATGTTTCAGCACCAGATGGCGCCAGTGTACACTTATTACAGACACTGATGCACAACCTGGTTTGCCAAATTGCCAGAGACAAACTAAATGTCACCCCTGAGTTTAATTTGTAAACACGAGTGCTGGAAGTAACCTACTTGGGGCCTTTCCTAATAAAATATAGCCTTAGTTACAGACTGCACTTATCAAATCTGTATTAAACCTGTAGCCTCTCTGGGTGAAACTAGCGCTGCTGACTTAATTGGGGATTGTGATTCCTGAAAGTAGCTTTGGCAGAAGGAAATTCTTCATGAAGCAGCACTGCACCCCCGTCACTCTGAGCCACAGCACAATTGCATGCCGCATGCAGTGCAAAGCAGCAGGAAGCATCATGGCATCAGCATTAAGAGCCCAACACCCCACTATCCACGCCCTTTGTGTGCCGTTACCATGGTGACCCTAGCCCCCTTGTTGTGGGTACTCTAGGGTTTGCTGAGTAGGGTGCTGTGACTATGTGGTACCAAGGAGTCAGAGCTTCTAGCAGCTTTTTTTCCACTGTCTCCTTCACAGGTCCTCTCAGGGTGGAGTGGGTCCCTTTCACGGCCTCCACCTCCACCAGCAGAGCCAGGAGCTACGCTGTCCTCCAGAACCTGCACAGAACTTACCCTCTGTGGATGATGTTAAAGGACAGGGGTTGATGAAGGAATCTGCTCAACCTTTCGTCTTTTGTCTAGTAATGCTTCAATACTTTAAGCTGATTTAAAAGAAATATGGATATTTAATTTTGGGGTGAACGGTCCCTTTAACAGCTGTCCAATTCCCAGACGTGGTCTGGGATTGCAAATATTTTCCATAAATCAGATTTGTGCTATCATGTAAGGCTGCTATGGTTTGGTGATGTTTGAAAAACTCCAGGACTATTTGTCATTAAATATACAGCTACTCTTGGCTGCTCCCTTATTCACAAGGGGTGAACCACAGTGGATGGCTTTGCATATTTGATATGCAGATTTTTACACTGCATGCCCTTCCAGACCCCCCCCAAACGGATTTGTGGATTTGTGTCTCCTCCTGGGATTGACCTGGGGATTTTTAGCTTGTTAGGCAAATGTATAAACTGCTACACTATTTGTCATTAAATTCAATTTTAGAATTGTTGGCCAAGGCAACAAACATCTAAAAATGGATCAAAAACAATTAAAAAAACCCCAAGAATACTTGCTTAAAGTGACATGAAAGTTACTCATACTGGAGCAGCTAGAACCAAAGGTCATTTTGAATTTTTAAACCGAACAGCTAATAATTGATTCACTTTTTGACTAATAAACCAGCTACAAATAAATAAGGAAAGCTAAACTGGTATTTTCTAGAGGAAACAGTGTGCAAATTTCTGTAAAATTCAACTGTTTCAGGTAAAACCTAATATGACAAAAGTCCTACCAACAACGACACATCATCATTTTAACAACATATAGATGAGACTGGCTGGAACGGTGACAACAAAATACATGTCAAACATACCAAGGGAAACTAAACGCAATGAAATATGTAATGAAAATGGCAGCAAAAGGATACTACAAATGCAACCTTACAAACCGGGTGCTGTGTCGTCATTAGCAGCTAGTAGTTAGTTTCACATTAGTAGAGATGGTGCTTTGTGGTTTATACAGGGGCATGCCACTATGCAAACAGAGATGAGGGCTTAAAAGAGAGGGTCACCTCCTCTTCCCGCTCCTCTCTCGTCTCTCTGGCCCAATCAGAAACTCATTCTGCTGGAGGACTGTGAAAGCATGAAGATGGTGGACGGTTCCACAGTAAGGCACGGGCGGGTGGACTGTAGTTACCATGAAAGAGCGCGTGAGTGAGTGGGGGGACAAAACAAAGGAGGGCGAGAGAGGAGACATTAATGAGGAGGGAGGAAGAAAAAAAGAATAAAGAGGAGGATGGAAGTAGTGAAGATAAGGCATAACAAGGCAAAAAGAAAGGAAAGGAGAGAAAGGCTCAATGAGAGGTGGTGTGGATTTTGATTACGGTGATCCATTAGGGTGCAGTGAGAAAGAAGAGAAGAGGAGGGGGAAAAAAGCACAAGAGGAAGAAATCTGTCAGACCTTTCACTCGCTTTTCCACTCACGGTGAAGCTTGTTTCACGGCAACGTAAGGCTAAGCCACAGGGAACGGGAAGTCAGTAAATCCAGCTGATATTCAAATAAACTAAGGATCTGAATGGCCTCCTTTCATAATACAGTCAACAGATTTATGGCACACCACTAGGGTACTGAGATGTGTAGTATGAGCTCAGATTTTGAGTAGTGAAAAAGGGGGAAAGCGTTAATTAGTCATTTAGTGAACACTATCAGAAATCACTACAGTGAAAAAATATCTACAGCCTAATTTCAGACACGAGACAATTCAAACCTCCAGCTTCATGTGGAGGTGGTGCCAACATTGTACCTGTGCGCGTTCAGTGGCTGTGGGACACATGGCCCTGCAGAGGACCTTCTTGATGACATCTGGCAGCAAGCTGACTGTAATGAGGAGGATGATGCTGAGCCAGGCCGGACCGCTGGACAGCATCTGCATGAACACGTAGTACATCCTCTGGTAGTTCAGGAAGGGCCTGAGCAGTGAAATAAAAGGCAGAAAGAAAAAAAAAAAATCAATGACTTTCCTGAAATACACTGATCAGCATAAACTTTACTGATTCAAGTAAAATCATAGCACATCTTACCAAATGATCCCACCCCAGAGAAGAGAGAAGATAACATAGAAAAGTAGCGACCCCCAGATGACAAAGTGATTAATCCAGGTCCAGTGGTGCGTGTCCAAGGCAAGCTGAAACAAACAGAACATAGACATAGTGAAAAGGAGCTAGCTGGGTACAAACTAAGATATCATTTATGTAAAGGTAGTTGATATTAGCTTTACTTAAATATTTTCCCCTCAGTGGATTTCCAAACACACCTTTAGTGTTACAGTGAACACCAGAACAGTAAAGATGAGAGTCCCAAACGTCCAGTTCCCAAACATCTGCAGGGATAAGAGAGGAAGAAGAGAGTTAGAGGCAACATCAATCGCACAAGCTGTTCTCCCTGCATCCACGGATTACTTAACACCCTACGATACCCGCCCGCCCCTCCAGCAAGTAAACCGAGGAGGGAACAGACACTCTTACATCATATCTGCTGTGATAAAAGGTGAGAGAAAGGGATATTGTGGGCACTGAACTGGAGGCTTTTTCACTTCATATCTCAGTGTGCAAATATTTCTACCTGATGAAATCCTAGAAAGGTTTAAGGAGACATCGGGGGTGAACAGATGGGATGAGAAGATGAAAGAGGGAGGATCGTGACAGGATAGGAAGATCAAGGCAAAGAAACCAGCTGTCTGTTGATACCAGTGTCCATTACTTCTTTCCTTTATAAACTGCAGAAATAGTACGGTTCCCCCCCCCCCCTTTATAAACCTCCCACATCAGTGAAATTACATGGACGTACAAATACACACAAATGCACAAACAAGGTCGACAGAAAACAAACAAAACAAACAGATGTTGGATCTCGAGCCACAGCGATACTAGTATTCATTTGTTTACTACCAGAAGGAAACACAAGGATAATGTGAGGAAGCATCTAAGATTTCTACCATGTCAGTTAAGATCAGGATACTGTGCAAGGATTCAGGGCTTTACATAGATTAGGGGAATAATGGAGCGCTAGAAAACTACACATTCAAACGGAAGTGCATGGATGGCGGTGACGTGAGAAAGGATGAAGCGTATGAGACGGTCAAACTGAAGGCGTAAACAATACGACAGGAACGAAAAAGGGTATGAGAGACAGAGAGAGCTGACAGGGAGGGAGACAGGCTTACCATCTGTGTGTTGGTGGTCATAAGCTGAAGGAGGAGAGGGAGAAGAAGAAGAAGAAGAAGAAAGAGGAGCAAAATAAAGAGAGAGGAAGCAGGGAGAAGGAGGGGGAGGGGAGAAAAGAGAAAAGAATCAGGACAAAGGGCAAAATGAATTTCAGGATGTCTCAACTTAAAAAACAGGACCGATCAAAAACAGTTGACATGATACAAATTAACAATACAGAGAAAGATGCTATTGTCAATATGAATGGAGATCCAATGTAGCTGACCTATGGGGACCCAGGACAGACACGTTACTACTACAGATCCACAATGCCAGGACCGCAAAGTCAAACCGCTACACCTAAGCTCCTCTTTAACGAGACCCCATCGAGTGAGCGTTTATAATGAGAGCACTTACTTTACATCCATTTATTCCCTCTAATCCCCTAAAAGATGCCTCAAACACCACAAACACCCCTTAAGTCTTCAGTTTCCGCTCTGTTCGCGTACTGGCCGTTATCACCGCCTTTTGCCGACAGGGAGACAGAGGCTTACCTGGCCGTTGCTGGTGAAGGTGGTGTTGTCAAACAGGAAGTAGGCACCGAAGAAGAAGACAACAGCATCAAACACACCCAGGCATGTCCAGTAGAGAAAGACAGGCCAGCGGAGGAGGGAGTTCTTCGCAATGTCCCTGAGAAAAACATAGAGTGACAACGTACATTAGGAACAACAGCTATTACATGCACAAAGAGAATATTTGGGGATCGGATTTCTTCTGAGCTCACCTGTACAAGGAGGGCTCTCTCTTCAATGTGTCCATGCTGACGTGCTGCTCAACCAGGCTGTACAGCAGAATGGGGAGGGAGGTGAAGCTGATGTTGTAAAGCGTCAAATACGCCGTGTCGTACAGAGGCTGCAGAGGAAACAGACGGCATCAGTGATCTGAAACCATTTACATACTGACATATTTGACTTATTAGAGCTAGGAACGTTACTGTGGTTCTCTTAACGGTGTCCGTTGAAACACTTTAGGTGCACAAACAACTTTTACACCAACAAAACAAGCACAATGGCTAATGTGTGATGGCTTTTGATGAAGCGACATGAAACAACCCCTTCCCTCCTCACTCTGATGCTCAGTTTGAGTTCTTACAAGTCATCTTGAATACGCCTACATGCCTCAACGAACTGGGCTGCTGCCATGTTAACTGCATTAACAAGCTGTTAAACATGTGTACCTAATGAACTGGCCTGTGAGTGTATGTCTAATTTATTCTATCGGTTTTAAATTGGTCTCAACTGCTATATGCTTCGCTAAGTTTGCCAGACGATTAGTGACTTCATCTGCCATATAAATACTGTTGTGCATGTAATGTTGTTTTCTGTTACTATGGTTGATAGATCCCCAGAGCTGGAGAGAACACAGAACTGAGAGAAAATGTGGCGTCTATGGGTGCTTTTCATTATAATAACTTGTGAACTATCACTTCCTCTCCCCTCCATCTATAAATTATTCCTTGTCCAGCATTGCTGAAGTTCTTATAATCACTTAAATTCACTTCAAGACACCTCAAGAGAACCTTTTGGATAAGGATTAGGTCATGTCTCCTCTCTTGCCCCTCTCTCCTACATCAGTGGGAGGAGTTAAGAATCAAAGAAGAGATACAAGTGAGGGAAGAAGGATGACATGCCAGCACACGGCTTGAGCAAAACCTCTCTCATCATCAGTGATAGATACAGAAATAGTTACTATTTGAAGCTCCTGTGAGAATATGTGACCAATGCAAATATGACTGCGTGCTTCTCAATGATAACTCTGACACCGTATAAAGTACTTACCTGCTGGGAGAATCCACAGAAGAATTGATAGAGGAACTGAGGGAAGATGAAGCATACATTCTGGAAAGATTTAAGGGGGGGGGGGGGGGGGAGAAGAAAAAAAACAACACAACAAGCAAAGAAAGTGATAAGCTTGTGACAAGTACGAATGAAAAAAATTAAAGACTCTAAAAATGCTACTATCTACACATTTCTGTTTATGCAGAAATTGTGTGCTATAAGCTCACTGAGTGGGCCGTAAGCAGCTGGCCTGCCAAAAAGGGGAAAAAAAATGAATCAGTTGGCAGGGCACTGTTTGCTGTGGAAGCCGCCCACACTGATCATCATGGGCATGAATCCGGGAATAGGTTGCACCACGGATTCATGAATCCAGTAATCTGTCAGAGTAGCTGCAAAATCTGGTTCATTGTGGCTGTGTTTCACTGGGAATTACGATAAAGTGATTAAAACGTATGAGCCACTTGAGCGCATGAGGCGCCCGTCTAGTACCTTGTAGAAGAAGTACTGAACGAGCTCAGCAATTCGGATGTAGTAGTAATGGCCATGGACCAGAAGCATCTTCTTCAGGTGTTTGAACTTCGGGATGGCGTAGTCACTATTTCTTGCTGCTTGTCTACCTTCTTTACCCATGATGCCTAAAGAAATGAAAAGAGGGTTAAATGCAGCCTGATCACGAGTCTAATTGCATGTTTATTGCTGCAGTTACTGCCTTTAGCATTTTACTTGCAAATATCCTGCAATTACTACAATTATGCCACATGTGATCACCTAAATTGATAGATTATTGTCAAAAACAAAGGTTTACTTTAGGTTAACCTAAAGCTCTGCTATCAAATATCATGATCAGCATTGGGTTAAATATTAAATGGATGATTTAGCAAATTAGCTGATAATTATGGTGCTTAAATGCACTCACCAATTCCCACATGTGCTTCCAAGATCATGCTGACATCGTTGGCTCCATCGCCAATAGCGAGGGTTATGGGGTGCTCCTTGGAGGCTTTAATCAGCTTCACAATCTGCGAAAAGCCCATCCCATTCCAATCAGTACCACTGTGAATGTGCCACTTTGGAGGTGGCATATTTACTTCACGCATACTTCCTTTACCTGTGCTTTTTGCAGAGGTGCCATGCGACAGCAGAGTACGGCGCTACAGTTACGACAGATCTCTAGAAAGATCTCTCTGTAGTTGCCGTGGCCTGCACCCTCCTGGTTGGGCTTCAATACTGCAGAAAGAGTGGCCCCGTCGATAATGAGGCCAAAGTCGAGGCAGTCTACGGACAAGCTGAGAAAAAAAAAACAAAAACAATGCGTCACAGACTAATCAACAGGGAAATCCATGTACACATCAGAAGGACTAAAAGATCTACTGATTTGACCAAGAGGCAGTTGCACACATAACGCAGATTGCCCACATGAGCATATACCCAGAGATGGAGCGCTGTCTGAGAACAGTCCTGTTGAGTTCAAACAACACATCGTGAAGGCTCTGCTCTTCCGTGCGTTTCTTGGTGAGCTCCAGGATTTGGGTGGTGCGACGGAACAGCTTGCTGGCGTAGCAAGTAGCCGCCGCCGTCTCCATCTTGTCCCCGGTCAGGACCCAAACTTTCATCCCAGCCTTGTGCAGTGACTCAATAGTGTCTGCTGCTTTCTCCTGGAGCCTGCACATCGATAAGTCAATAAGTGATGCAGCCTCCACTCAGCTATGCAGAACTAAAGCATTCATCAAAGCTTCAATCAATCCATTACAGACTGGTGATAACTTATCAATGCATGGCCACCCCTGTCCCTGCCCATCAGCAGCTTATCTGTTAGGAAATTAAACTGTCGTGCTTGCGATCAATCAAGTTGGGGTCAATGCTGTGGTCTGCTATTTCCGAGCGTAAAAACATCTTGCATATTTATTCTCTCAGTGGAAAAGAAACAGCAGTATTAATAGTAAGTCACCTATCAGAGCTCTGACACAATATTCTTCTTGCACTCATGAGTCATGAGAACGCTCTGAAGACAATCCTTTAAGGGCGGCTTAATGATTCATTAATCTTCCCTTCTGTCCTTCTGCCCCCCTGCTGCTGCACTGTTTTTAAATCTCTCCGTTCCCCTCTTTCTGACCAACCTGTCCTCCACTGCTGTGGCACCCAGAAGAACAAAGTCTCTCTCAATGATGTCATAGGCCTGAGCCAGCCTCTGCTCCCTGTCCTGCAGGGCAAGTTTGGCTTCCATCAGGTGATGACACGCCTCCTGGTATTCAGACTGTGAGAGCCTTCGATAGGCGACGCACAGAGTTCGCAGCCCTTCCTGGTGTTACAGCGAAGTGAGCGATGGAGAAAAATGAACAAATTCAAATGCTGATCGCAAGTGTTCCAATCTCATCCACATTAGAGCCATACGTGCTTTAGAATAAAATGTGTTTTCATTCACATCTAGCAGAGTTATAAGTGCACTAGCATTTATTTGTAGTTACATTTGTATCTGTCATTTCAAGGCAGGTGCAATCTTCACTTTTTAGCTGGGCTCCAAAAACCCCCCCTGAGGGAAATATATGGCTCTTTAACTGCTACACGCTCAACTATCCTGTCTAAGTAGTTGCTAACTTTGTCTTCTAATAATTTGAGTGCTGGATCGGTACCATTTAGAGATTTTTTTGTTGGCTGGAACAGTGGACTGCTTTAGCTAAAAGTAAGACTCATTAAGGTGCAAGGCGTCAAAGAAGGGCAGTAAAAAAACAACAACAACAACAACAACAAAAAAACACACACACAAAAAACTAGTATGCTAAAAGATGAAAAAATAAAAATGCCACACAGAGGTACTCTTTTCATGTTTTTAAAGGAAATATTAATTTTCTTTAAACCTCTTGTTCAAATGTAACATTAAAATTTAAGTTTATAGCATGAAGCTATGAAAGATTTCTGAATGATATCTAAAACTGACCTGATGCAGTGTATCATCAATCCCCTTATATAACCAGTGCTGGTTAAACTGTCCACTTACCACTGCATTTTGTTCCACCCGGGCTTTAACTTGTTCCACCTTTCCCGAGACCACTCGTGGAAAAATGGATGAGTCAGCACCCTTACAGAACAGCAGGTAGTCTCCTGGGAGCACGCAAAACAAATATCCGTAAAGCCAACTGCAAGAACTGCATCCGATAAACAGCCCCGTGTTAGACGATATCTTACCTGAGCTCGACTTGACTATAACGCTCATTCGCCTCCTGACAGAGTCAAAGTTCAGCACATGGAGCAATTCAAACCTGATGGAGAGACGGCATTGGCAAAGACGCAGTTATTGTTTTGTTAATTTTCTTATTTGCAAAGATATTTGTTTGTGGCTTTTTTTTTCCCCAGAGTGCTGCATATTATCTACAAATTGTCCAACACTCAACAGTTCTGATAAGTGCACACACTCATTTTTGCATTTTTTTCCTCCATTCAATTTAGTTTCCAATAATTTGTAAGATAAACAACTCACATTATCCCCTCTTACAGTTTCATTACATCCTTTAACTTCCTGATTAGCAAGCTGTAAAACAGACCACAATGCAGATTGATGGCCGAGGCTTAAATTAATTCTATTTTTGGCTCGAGTGGTCTTGGATCCCTTAAAAAGGGTAAAAGCACAAAATGCAAGAAAGCTGTAAAACCTTTTTCTTTCACATTGCCGCTAAAGTCTTCACCGCTGCCCACTGCACCACCCTCCCTTCCTGAGCTCCCCTGCTTCCTTAAAATAGCTCACTATTGACAGGCCACTGCAGAGAGTGATAGCGAGGGAAAGCGGTTACACAAACACATCCCACGGATCAAAACATTAAACACTTGCCACAAAACCACTCTCTAATGGAAACTCGTTCGGCTTCTGTTTTTTCTGATCAGCTGGAACGTTTTGATTCGATTGAGTAGTTCCGTAAAAAGCAACCCTCTGCCTGCTCTTTGGTGGTTGTAGTTTTTTGTAACCTCGGGTGAACATGAGACACAAGCTGAGGGCTGTTGTATGACGGCTTATGTGTGACCACAACTCCATCAAGTGAATTAATCTCATTTTATCTCCTGTGGAGTAACCGCACCAGTCTCTTAGCACACCGACCTTTCAATCTCGTCATCTTTGTTGAGGATCTCCATGTAGTTGTCCTTCAGTCTTAGATATGTGTAACCGAGCCTAGCAACAAGAGTGAAAGGAAAAAGATGCATTAAAGCCCAACAAAAAGCAACCATGTACACCAATACTCGCTTATGCCCCACTTGGAAAGGCTAAAGGTGCTCTGACGCATTCTGCGTAACCTGAGCTCACACATACGCCGAAGACAGAGCACATCTGTGAAAGCTATATAAGACAGCAGCATTCCCTGATGGTGCATGGTTGATGTGTCCTACACTATACTATTAAAATAGCACACACAAAAAAAATGAAAAGGTTCTCTGTGTTGGCGTGGACTTGGTGCTTCTTGGGGTCCAGTTTGAGTAATGCAACAGTAATCAGACAGTAAAACACAGCACAAGTTAATCAAGGATAATACAAGTCTGAAAACTTCACAGCAGCCTGTCTGCATCATCCTCTGTGCCATCAAGGCTTTAAATTGTTCTTGACCGACCAACAATTTGCACTGCCAGATAGTACTTCAGGAAAAATTGAGCCAAGACCATTTTGTTGGAGGGGGTGACCCTGCACCCTCCCTCTGCCAACATAGTGGACTCACTGCAAGTGGTAAGGAGGATATGTCTTTGAAAACAAGCTGTTACTACAATCAACTGTACAGGAAGTTATCACAGTTATAATATTTTTCAGACAATTTTATTAAAATGTCCCAAAAGCTGCCACAAACATAATCTAGAGGAGCTCAGAGTCATAACTTAACAGAAGGGACAGCGAGCAGACTGTATCAGCACCTACGTGTCACACATTACTTTAAATTATAATACAAATTAAATGTGTCAGTTTAATAAGCATTCACATCTAAGCAGCTATCATGAAGGAGGCAATTCACCATGAAAACCTAAACTGTTTATTTGGGCTCTAACAGGGAGACAGCCTCAAGTGGTCATTTGTGGAACTGCAGTTTTTGGTACTTGCGGTACAAAGAAGGTCAAATATTTTAAAAAAAGAACATTGATCTCCTTTACTTTACTTCAGTGAAACACAGTAATGAAAGAAAAGATGACTAAAAAGGTGTGAAGGAGAATTTCCAAAGACTGATTATACTTACATTAGACTAGTAACTGTCTGCCATACTGAAACTACAAAATCCAGAGGATGGATTCCAAAATGCACCAATGTGTTCTCACCATGTCGTTTCATACAGGCCAGATTAAATAAAAATAAAATACTGGTGCAACATATTCATTAAAAGGTTGAGATTTTAAATAATACAAACAGCCTATAAAATAAAACAAACTGTAATATCTTATTTTATCCTGTGTATCCTCTGCTACAGGAGGTAACAAAGGAACCAAGGAAGCACTTTCCCTTAATATTTAGAGAATTGAACCAGCTCCTGTTATGGCTACCACACAGACACTTCCAGGTCAGGTTTCCCTTACTGAAGCCTTTCTAGATAAAACTGATGAATCGGCCAAACCCCTAATCCGTTGTGAAATAAACAGCAGATTCCTGTTTACTGACTGAGTCCGTGTTGGAAGAGCAGCCTGAAGGCAAAAGTAAAAGTTCTGGACGGTAATTGACCGAAATACATTTTCAACCAAAATATAAAATACGCACTAATAAAGTTTAATGTAACTTGAACCTATAAAGATTTTAGGGGACTGTGTGTGGTTTTAGCGCATTTACCTTTTCATTCCCTCGACCAAAGCTACCTCATCTGGTGAGGAAGAGATGTAGAAGGAGGTGGGCCTGCCCTGGTGGATGCCCCTCTTGATGCCATCCACCGTCTCCTCCTCCTTCACCTGCACCGTGTGGCACAGACACAGCGCCCGAAAAAACAAATCCTCGTATTCCTGCAGCGACAGACAAAAGGCACAGCTACATATCGTAATCATTTCTTATGGAGGCAACAGGCCGAGTTAGAAGGTGCATAATTACAACAAGAGTGAAGAACGAATCCTCTTTTTGTTTTTTACACAATTGATTCTGTTTAGTCGATAGCGTGACATTTCTGTGCTATATATCAAAAAAAACAACCCCCCCCCCCAGCAATAAAGCAGGAAATCTTTTCAGCACTTTTTGGCAGTGAGCACCCTTCGTCCTCTCTCTCGCGCGCTCTAGTCATCTGTGGCAGCTACTGCTGCTTATGCTGACTACACAAGTTTTCTTTTATTAAATCTAAACTAATCTTTGTTGCCACTACCATAAGTGCAATGCTCATCACTTTTCCGTGTACCAGAGGACTTTTTTTTCCACCCCCAATATAAGACAAAGTATACACTATACAACGAAAGTGTTAAAATTTATATGTATTGGGTATAGGATATATCAAAATCCTCCAGCCTTATAACTGAGGTTAGCTTCCCCTTGTTTGTTTAGCAAAACACACTTACTCTCCTGTAGCCACCAGGTGAGGAATCAATCATGTCTATACTTGACGCAGCGCTGAGGATTTGGCCGTTGCAGATCGCGTGTGGGATATAGACGTTCCCATCAACGCAGCATTCGATAAACTCCATGTTGTTCTCAGTTAGAGTGCCCGTCTTATCAGTAAACACATATTCCACCTAGGAGGGAGAAAGGAGAAGGGTACAGTAGAGGCATGCCTCAACAGAGTTTAGATTGCATCCGACAGTCCGCATCTGGGCGTGCGCGTGTACCTGTCCCAGCTCTTCATTCAGGTCCGAGGTGTTCACCTGAGCGCCTTCTCCCAGCTCCTCGTCAAACATCTCCTCGTCCCAGCTGATGAAATAGGAGCCAAGAAATTTCTGCATCTCCACCGTTACATACATGGACACGGGGATGATGTAATTAAACAAAACCATGAAGGCCAGGAAGTCTGTGAAGGCTCGGATCACCTGAGTTGGGGGAGGGAGACAAACAGCTATGAAGTTTTAAGTGACACCAGATGCTTGGTTTAAGTGGTTACTTTTAAAAACGTAGAGGACTTATGAACGGACCACATGGCGCTGACGCTCGTGCTCAGTCCTGTGGTTGTACCAGGGCTCATCCCGATCGGGCGACCACTGCCAAGCGTACTTCAGAACAGTGTTGATCACCGCTTTACTGATCAAGATGCACAAGTACACTATGAGGAAGGCATTCATCGACCTGCAGAAGGAGAAGGAGAGAGAGTATGCATAAAGAAGGGTGCATTTCAATTAACCAGTTCAAAGAACGACTTTCAATCATGCAGTGAAATGAGCTGGGAGATTCATCATACTTTTCCACAGCAGAGCGCTTCTGAGATTTAGACTGGTAATTAAGTGCCATCTTGGTCTCCATGCCAGTGTAGACTGCAACAGCTGAAGGTACAGACAACAGTGAGTTACAAATGCAGAAATGATACCAGCATTTCTTCAACTGTTGTAAAACATTCAGGAGTCATTAAGCAAAGTGAATCCACATCAATACCGTAAATATGCTGTGTGTTCTTCAGCGTGGCTCCTCTAAGGAGCAAATTCTCAGCTCCAAGTGGTCTGAAACAATACAATTAAGATGCTGGTGTTATTACAGAGAAAACAATTGAAGGCCGTTGGCATTAAACCCTTGAAACACACTCACACACTCACACAGTGAACACAAACCTCGCCACAGGCTCTTCTTTGTCCTTGTAAATATTGATACGTCCCACAAATCTGTAAAGAAGTCAGTGCGATGTCAAAACAAGACCCACACAGTGACGAGGACGTATCTTGTAACAGGTTTGCATATAAAGCTACATCAGTGAGCATGCTTCCCACTCACTTGTAGAGGTCAGGCTGCGGTTGTTCACATTCAATAGTGGCATGTAGCGAATCCACCTCCTGCTCTGTTCTAAAGGCCATGGTATCTGGTATAGCATAATAGGTCTGAGACAGAAAAGGTGCCGGAGAGGGGGATGAAGAAGACAGCAAGAGGAAAATGTCACCCACAGTCGCTAATGAGAAGAGCCTCAGCCGGTTCACTAAATGACTGAGGGGGAAAAAAAAAAAGGCAGCAAGATGAGTCGGGCGCTCTTGGGGTCACCAGGGGACAGCATGCTGGGATGGTGAACACATCAGAGGGCTGCCCCGAGGGCATGTATGAGGAAGATGAGTTCAGTAGTCTGTTCTATACTGTGGGTAATACGTGTGTGTGTGTGTTTGTGTATGCATATGATCATCCATGCATAAGATCATGTGAGTGACACCAGTGATCACCTATGCAGGTGGGCCAGTGTGTCACCTCGATCATTATGAATTTATGAGTAGGTGCATGCTGCCTGAAAAGTGCAGGGCTGCAGCCAGTTAATGTTCTGATTATTGAGCAAATCTGCTGATTATCTTTTGTGAATAATCACTGACAGAAAACATGAGAAAGTAGAATAAATGGAAACCTCACACTCCCGTTAAACCTTAAGGGTGCCTTCTTAAACTGCTCCGTTTTTCAGACCAACCAAAAAGATATTTGTCCTATTATTATTCGCTGCTATTATTAGCAACAAATATGTACATTAGACAACTGGATTTTTACCCTAAAGTGGCACGTGAATCAATTAAATTCATCGTTACATGGTCGCTACTTGCAGAATGTATGAAATGACAATAAATCATTAATACAATCATACTTCATTCATCTGAATGTTCGCTGCTGTGTTCCAGTGGCAGTGTCATCCAATGAAAGGTCATTATGGCATTTCTGTTTTTCCTTCGTTTACACTGGCGTTCATAATAAACACGGGCATAATTTTATCCCTGTGAGCCAAAACCTCAGACTTGGGACTGCTCCAAACACTTCAACCTTTTCTTTTTTAAACGTTTAGATCTTCATGATGTCAAAAAGAGAAGATATCCTTAATATGTTCCTCTCGGCCACACAGCTCTGCCTGTGAGCATAGCAGGCCCGCCCACCTGTTGTTCAAATCTTCTATTTGTGGGGTCAGAGGAAAGTTAAAAGTTTAACTCCCCCTAAGTTAAGAGAAGGGAGCCAAATGATTGGCACAGTTTAAAATAAATGAATCTTTTAAATACTGGCAGAGTCAGGGAGCTGGAAAATAGCGTAATAAATATGTAATAAATTAACCTTTAGTCAAACAGCCGAAAAGCAGGGTTGTAAAGCAGCTTGCACGAGCCCAGCAACTGTGAGCAGGGTCAAGCAGCTTAAATAGTGCACTGCAGCAGATAACTAGTAATAATTACAGGCAATATTCACACAATTTAAAATCTGTAACACATAAGACTTTTCATACTCCAGGTAATTAAAAACTCCCAAATTATAAACCATAAGGTTTATAGATTTACAGTAAAACACTGCAGAATAGTGTTGAGATTACATATTTACTAGAATGATGAACATGGTTGCGTTAGCTTCCTGCATTTTTTCTTAATCAATATTATAATAATCAATAGTCCTGACAATGCAAACTCATGGATGTGAGATTTTTTTTTTTTTCATTAAACATACAATAATCTTTTCTCCGTATGCCTGGAAACAATGATGCTTTCATTTTTTGTTAGGGAGACTAAAACAGTTTAGGGAGAGAATAATAGCATTGGATAATACTACACTGTTACATAACAACTGTTGTTCTTTGTGAGCAGACAGGCATTGTTTGATTTCATAAAAGACTTATATTTGTGGTGATTTGGTGCTTCAGAAGGCCTTAACTCTGATTAATTTAAGGACCTATGTAAACTTCTTTTTTGACAGGAAATATAAAGACAATCAGCCGGAAAAGGGTGGAGTGCCCACTCCGGGTCGGGGATGAGCTCCTGCCCCAAGTGGAGGAGTTCAAGTATCTCGGGGTCTTGTTCGCGAGTGATGGGAGAAGGGAGATCGACAGACGGATTGGTGCGGTGGCTGCAGTGATGCGGACGCTGCACCGGTCCGTCGTGGTGAAGAGAGAGCTGAGTGTAAAAGTGAAGCTCTCAATTTACCGGTCGATCTACGTCCCTACCCTCACCTATGGCCCCGAGCTGTGGGTAGTGACCGAAAGAACGTGATTGCGGATACAAGCAGCAGAAATGAGCTTCCTCCGAAGGGTGGCTGGCCTCTCCCTTAGAGATAGGGTGAGAAATTCGGCCATCAGGGAGGGGCTCAGAGTAGAGCCGCTGCTCCTTCACATCGAAAGGAGCCAGCTGAGGTGGTTCGGGCATCTGACAAGGATGCCTCCTGGGCGCCTCCTGGGCGCCTCCTTGGCACCTCCTGGGCGCCTCCTGGGGTTGGTGTTCCGGGCACGTCCCACCAGGAGGAGGCCCCGGGGCAGACCCAGGACACGCTGGAGAGATTATATCTCTCGGCTGGCCTGGGAACGCCTTGGTGTTCCCCCGAATAAACTGGAGGAGGTGGCTGGGAAGAGGGAGGTCTGGGCTTCTCTGCTTAAGCTGCTGCCCCCGCGACCCGGCCCCAGATAAAGCGGATGAAGATGGATGGATGGCTATAAAGACAAGTTGAGAACAGACTGATTCAAACAGTTTCACTAGTTGTGGCACCTTGTGACTAGACTCCCCGTCCAAGCTGGTGGTGGTGACGTAGCAGGTCCCATCAGAGCGACTAGAGGAGAGAAGAATGAGGTCACAGGGGAACGTCTCATCTTCCTTCACCACAACGATGTCCCCCACCTGGAAGAGGACAAAAAGTGGTTTCGATATCATTAATAATAAATACATAAACACAGAATTAGTGACAGGGACTGACAAACCTGTTAGAAATCCTTTACCATCTCTCTTTAAAAAAATTAAAAAAATAAAATCAGAAATTGCATAACGGATTATGCGAGCAGAGCAGCTTAAACTCTGATAAATCCCATCTCCACGGTGACCATACACATGACACACGCTCTCTGATTTTGCATGATTAATGTATTCATCATTATTCCTGCTCCCAATTCACACTTTAATCCTCTCTGATCTATGGAAGGAAGAAACCTTAGCAATAAAGAAAAAACAATCCCCAGAAGACAGACACAGACAGCTAGAGAGAGGCAGAAAGACAGGAAAGAGACAGTGACAGATAAAGCCAGGCAGGAAACATAAAAAAAAGAAAAGAAAAAAAAAGTATATTTGTGCATTTGGGCTTTCACTTGGTAGATTTGTGCAAACTATATACTGAGGTTCCCACATAGTCTGCATTAACTCTACTTTAAGAGCAGCAGACACGACATGTAACCAGCACCAAGTACATATTATGAAAAAACAATGCTTCAAAACGAGAATGAATGTGTCGTTATTTATGAGTCCATAATAAATTCGCAATGCAGTTTAAAAATGATCTCATTTTATTGTCTCAACAAGTTGTCGATTGCTCATTTATGTTCTACCCTACTCAGATCAGCTGGTTGCTGTGTATGTGGCGGTCCAAACACATAAACAGTAATGGAAAAAGGACTGGTTCTTATACAGGGATTTTCTACTTGAGCAGGCAAAGCACTTTATACAACATGCCACATTCACCCATTCATACAAACACTGTTTTTATGCTTCTTCTAAGTGTTTTCTATATTCTGATGAACGCTTTAGAGAGCAACTGGTGGTTCAGCATCTCACTGATGGAGACTGGAGCAGCCTGTCTACCTCGTGACCTACAGGCACTCCTGTGTCGCCAACAGGAACGTTTTAGAGTTGTAACACCCATTACACGGTTGAAGCGTGTTTCTCTGCTCTCTTCTTTCCTGTTTTTCTAGCAGATAAATTAAAAATTTATCGGCTGCTATAACTGCCAATGCAGATTCATCAGCAGACTGATATTAGCACACACATAATATCGGTCAGGCTCTATTCTATGCATCTACATTTTAGGTGATGGGCTAGTATTAAGCAGTCTGATGTTTTCATTCATACTTGGATGATACAGGCCAGATTACTGCAGAGCAGCATGCCAGCTGAGTGACACTAGTTTATATTTTTCACAGAAATATTGGCATTCGCCCCTGCATTTGGTACCACGAGCAGCACTGCTGTAAATAAAGCCACACTAATAAATGCAAATTAATGAGCCTTATTTCCAGTGTGTTTTCATACAGAAAGAGGTGTAATGGCTCTATAAAAAGAAGAAGAGTTCACTTGTGCATTAAAGTGAACAGAATCGGATAGTGGGCTGAGAAGATGATACTGGAATAACGTGAAATCCTACGTGAGCTGAGATGGAAAAGATGGAAAAAAAAAACTACCAGTTCGATCAAAGATGGGATGTGAAATTATGAAAATCATTTGCAATCATGGCAAACTGAATTACACCACCAAACAGAGATTTACTGTTGCATCAGAATGACAGAAGAGAACATCAGAGGATGATGACAGGAATATCCTAAATCGTGAAATACATCAGTCGTCTTCGTCCTCCGAGGGACTCGCGTGCTACACCGGGGGACAATCTATCACAGCTTCGGAGAAATTAATTGGTGGGAAAGTGAAGAGAGAGCAAAAGCAGCAGTAAAGAAAGTTCGAGAGGACTGCAGAGAGGAAGAGAAAGGGGTGGGCTGGTGAGAGCGACAGTTACAGGGAAAAAAAAGTGAGCTATGCAGCAGAACAGCAGTGTTGCTTTGTGGCCTCAGGTGCTATGCTGCTCTAATGAGGCCATTCTTACCCGTAGCTTGTGACTCTGTGTCCTCACCACCTTCCCCTGCTGCACCACGTCCACCGGACACTCGTTTATAGAGCAGTCAGCTTTGTGTCTGAGCCAATCCTCGTAGCCCTGAGAGAGATGCAGCAAGTGGGTTGCAGCAAGGGATAGAAAACGAGATTGTAAGGGGAGGTGGAAAAAAAAAGGAGGAAATAAATATGTGTGTGTGTGTGTGTGTGTGTGTGTGTGTGTGTGTGTGTGTGTGTGTGTTGGCAGTGGGGAAACAAAGAATATAGACTGTTGTACAAGCAGAATCGGGGCCAGCAGCAGATCAAGAGAGAGGAGAGCACGAGGTCAAAGTCATACATAGTAATTAATTAGCATCGCACTTTCTGAGCTTGGTGACCCGTTTCCTGGATTTGTAGCCAATGTGTCATGTTTTAGATTTATGTCCTAGTAAAGCTCTGGCTTCCTGAGCGAGAATAGCTCTATCACTGATAGTACCCCATCCCTCAGTACTGGGACGGAACGGAGAGGATGCATCGCCCAGAGTCACGGGATCCTCAGCTCGAGTGATTAACAGAGGAGACCATTCATGATCATATTTCTCACATCAGCAGACAGATTCAATGGCATGCCCCTTTGCTGGGAGTGGAATGTGTATATACAGATAATAGAGCAACGGAGAACGGAGAGTGCGTGGGTATTTGAGGCCAGCAGTTGATGCGTATAGAGGATAATCACGGGCAATTTTTCTTGGACATATAAGCATATTTGTGTGCATCCTACCTGTTTGATGGCGGTGACCGTGATAACAAAGAAGAGGGGCAGGCCACTAGTGACTGGGCTGGTGGGGGTGTCGATGATGAGCTGCAAGGGAAAGAAACAGGAGGAGGAAGACGTAGAGTGGGGGGGGTGAAGAAGTGGCCACAAATAGAAGATAGGATGTCAAGTAAACAGCACTGTTCAATGTGCATCAGTGAAGAGCTTTTAAAACTTCAAGCTTGGGATCAAATTTGATCTTTTCCTTTAGGATTAACCTCCTGGGATAGCATATACACCCCTACAGTTTCAGAGACACATTAAATGCAGCAAGCAATGTCATTATTTCAGTTTAAAAAATGTTATAAATTACAAACACATCCTCAGCACGCCCCATCATCAATAAATGCATGCACCCAGTCTGTGGCCATGTTTCAAACTCCTCTATCAAGGCAACTGCTGGAAGAGAAATTGACTTAATAGACCGGAACTATTAACTATCTGACTATTATCACTAGTCCATCCTTGCATTGTTATTCAGCCACTATATTTGATACAATGTGGCAGTTCAGAAGAAGAAGAAAAGCTTCTGAGGTACAGAGAGAGCACTACAACAATCCATTCGAGAATGTTGACTTTGCAAATTTGCATTAGCCTCAGATGAGTGAGTGCTCTTATTTTGAAATATGTGAACGATAAGGGAGTGTCTAAACAGCTTTCAGCACTCATATGATTAAATAGTGCACACAGCCACATAATGAGACAGCACCACTGTGACTTCTGGCAATTATGAATCAATTCCAGACAAATGTAAAATCAGCAGATTCTAAAACAACCAGAGATCCATATTAAGGGTGGAAATCAAAGAATGACACAGAACACTATTACTGTTTCCAAAGAACTTGTGAAGCTGTGTTTAAAAAAAAAGAAACCAACCCCCCCTCCAAAAAAAAATAAAAATTGGAAAAAAATGATTTGCTAATTCTACAAGGACAGAAATCTGGCATAAACATACAGTATCTTCTACAGAGAGTGCACAAACATGCAGTGCCTGCAGTGCTCGCACAGTAGGCAGATTAAAGAGAAAAATAATTGTCATTAATAAAGCCGAAATCTCACCTGAACCAAAAATATGACCAAAAAGTAAAAGTTAGCGATTCTTCTGAACTGCTCAAACAGGTTCTTGGGAATGAAGTTCCAGAAGGTGTACTGTGGAAGAGAGTAACAGCAAACATTTAGAAGAAAGGCATTTAGAAGAAAAGAAAAGCAAACATCATAACAGTTCCTGTGCCAAAAAACAATGATAAAGACAAAAAAAGTAAAGCATCCTTTAAAAATAAAAGAAACACAGCTCCAAAACAGGATTACTTGGTTGCCTGAGTATAAAACTAAGATTGCGTGATGATAAAAAGTGTTACAGCAGTGACTTGTGGGCTGAGGACCGCTCACCTTGGAGGACACAATGCGGTTGTCGGGATAACGCTGAGGGATGTACGCCTCAGCTCCTGGAGGGGGTTCTTTATGCCCGATATACACCGTCCGACTGTCCACCCAGATCTCCTCCCCGACACACTGCAGAAGAAAGAAATAACATGCAGATATAAATAGCAATAGAAGGTGGGGACAAGAAACTGGGTTATAGGGCTGTGCGATATGACCAAAATCTCATATCCCGATATTAAGACATCTATGTCCGATAACGATATAAATCACAAAAATGTAACATTTTCTATAAATTCTGTAAATCTCGGGCAGTTTGACTTGCGTGAAGTGTTTCCAGCTGGGCGTCGTGTAGCTGGAGTTGAGTGTTTTAACTGATGCATGAAACTATACATTTTTAGACATAAGTTGTAACGGCGCCGTTTTCTTTGTAAGTATTTATTACACGGCGTGCTGCGGGGAAAAGCCTGTTCTAACGTTTGAGTCTAAAGTTTGTTTGTTTTTAGCACCTGGCGGCTCTTTTTTTTTACTTCTCATCCGTAAACAATCTGCTCTTTCACGTGATTCAGTTTATTTTGAAAAGTCTCAACAGGCTCTTGAGCTTTATTGTGAAAGGTTTATGTGGAACAAGCAGACACGCGGTGGTTTTACCATCGTTGTTGCTAAGGACAACACATAAAAACAAACGCTTGTCTGTCTGTAGTGTGGTTCTATTAAATATAAGAGAAAGTGAGAACTTTAAGAAATGAATATAGCCACTACAGTGACCATCAAAATAATGAAAAAAATATTGCCGTAAACAGTTTATTTTGCAACACCACGAAGCAAACGATAGCGTAAAATGAAACAATAGATGCTTTTATATCTTCATCCGATATATATCGTTATATCGAACAGCCCTACTGGGTTATATCACAAAGTGTCCGATTACAATTAATGACCTCCTTGCTATTATCTGGCTTACATCAATTGAAACGATGCAGCTGAATAACACCAACATTTTACCAGCACCTCCTTAAAACATGACTTCACAGCGTGGAAACATAGTTTACCGGTATATGAGCAGCCAGTATACATTATTGTAGATAATATACAACTAATCAAAAAATACTTGCAAACAGTATTTATACATTTTTTTGATTAGAATCAAGAAAAACAGAGTCCTAGATGAAAAACTGAATGTTACACAAGACTGTGTTACACGACTTCTGTGACTTCTTTTAACAAACAACTTTACAGACAAGACAAGCCAAATTGAAGGATGTGTTAATGTTTGTGATGCGTGTAGGTGGGTTCGGCTCTGAGTCACGGTAGAGTGGATTTGTCATTTATCTTTTTCTTCCTGCAGAACAGTCAGGATATTCTGCAGTCAGCCCTCTGCTCTCTTCCATCTGCACAGGTCCAAAACACAGCTATGTTGTTGCTCTTACAATTTTCAACTGATTCAGTGGCTTGACTTTAAAAAATTAAATACACATCAGTTCCCGTGCATGCAAACCATCCCCAGGGCTTAACAGAATGCACTGTGGGACTTCACCGCAGCACATTTTTTCTCAGAGATGTCCCACATTAAAAGCTACTGCAGTAACAGAGCTCTCCGAGACAAAACAAGAATCACGAGACCAGGATTTGGCTGTTTGTGTCTACACGAGTCCTAATGTTTTGGCCTGAGTGGGCACCGTTAGTGTAGACTTTGGCAAAGCGGCCGACCTGACACAGCTCAAAGCAGAAGTGTTGACCATTAGCAGAAAAGTTCTGGAACAAGCACTTTAGAGGAAGTAGCGCTTCACTGCTTCAAACGTCCTCAACATTTTGGCAGAGACGTAGCTCATTATTGTCAGTGAGAAAAAAAACCCCCCCAACTTCTAATACATTTGTGCTCAGTCCACAGCACGTACATGTCCCAAATGTGTTTCCTGTCAACTTAATCCACAAGTTTTAACAAGTTTAAGATCAAATGAAGGTTAATGCAGCATCACAGTGAATTCAACGCAAGATGAGACACCCAAATAGCTAACTGCAAAACTTAAAAGCAAAGAGACCCAGATCCTGGCATCAGATGCTTGGCAGTGAGATAAAAATAGACACAGATCCAACAGTGTCAGCCGACTGGAGACCCCTCCAAACTATTACGGGGTGGGGGAGCAGCATGACCCAGACAAACACTGAAAATGGAAAGAAACCGAAAGAAACTCAAAGTAAGGCAGAAACCGAAAGCAGCAAAAGCAGAGAACAGGAAGAAATCAGCAACAACAGATTTCTACAGAAGAAAAAGGGTAACAAGGACAAAGAAAAGGATGTATAGGGAGAGTAACGGGGAGAGAAGGTGGGGCTGAGGGCAAAAATAGAAGCAGTTGTCACTGACATGATGCAGCATGTGCGAGTAATCTTTCATTTATTTATTTTTTGTAAAGGGAACTGACCAAATCAAACAGCTGTCCTGGTAATATTAAGCCACCTAACCTTGAGCCTTAGTTGTTTACTTTAAACGTCTTATAAATACCCGACATAACCACGATGTGCAAAGGAATTTCATGTTCATGTTAATACCAAAACAACAACAACAACAACAACAACAAAAAAAACTTGGTTACAATCAAACTCTCTGACCATACAGTACATTTGATGGTTTAATATTAAGAGCAGTGTATTGGACCAAGGACGGCTTTGTACAATTTGTTATAGTGCTTGCATCAAATCAAGCTAAGGATGTGATCCATTCAAAGGACAAACCAGGGATCTAAATGGGAGGCTGGAGAATAGAAAGCACTGTCAACTAAAAGGGCAAATTCCAAATACTTCTAATTTGGCATTGCAGGTTTTTCCTGCTATAGAAAGGGCCTTTGGTGGGAGGTTCACTTTATTTGACAAGAGGAAGCTACTTTCAGCTGGTCCCTTGTCACATGGGGTAGTTCCACATATTTGATTTGACAGAGTTTGGCTTTTTGAACCAGTGACCTTTCAGTGGCCAAGTAAATGCATAAACCATATGTATTTTTCACCTTAATTGACAGCAATAAAGACACCAAGCAGGACAAAACATAAACTACAGGAGTAGATAAAAGTCTGAGCCTGGGTCACCTGATCCAGCCCCAACTATAGGTTTGATCGAAAAGGAAGTCTAATCATGTATGAGGGTGGTTATCTTCCAAATCTAAACTGAGAGCTGATAACACACATGAGAGGAGGCTGATAGTTGAAGGTTCTGGCTCCCCTTCTACTTTTGGTAACTCACAAAGTGCTCAGTTGTGGATAATATGGTGATATGAAATCTTTACGACGTGACTGACCCTGATCGCTCAGGCCTTTAAATGTGAGGAGAAGGACTTTAAATTCAATTCTGGATTTAACAAAGAACCAGCGAAGAGAAGTCAGTAAGAGAGAAATGTGATCCGTCTTCCTGTTAGTGCTCTTGCAGCAGCATTTTGGTTCAACTGGAGACTTTCCATAAAGCTATCAGGAAAACCCGACTATAAGGAATTACAATAATCTAGCCTCAGATTCGTTATGCATTAGTGGGAGTTCAGGTTAAAGTTTTGCACTGTAATCAGGACAAATGTGGAAAATGGTCATTGCTATTCCAATGAAATTGCTCGCTTACATCTTAAACATTCTAAATATTTACTTCTGTCTATTTCTACATTAGTTCAACCATTCTTCAAATCCACAGCTCTCTGAATTCACCATCCATCTCCCCCATATTTCTATCTGCAGTGTTTTCTCCCTTTGTTCCTATCATCTCCTGGCAGCGAGTGTCACATTATGACAGCGTGACTGTGGGAGAGGGATGGAGGAAGACGCAGAGAGATTGCATTGTGGTGTGCAGTTATCTGATCATTAATCCTCACTGATCCGTATCAACCCGTGTCCCACAGCTCCCTCTTCACTCTGCTGCTCCAACAGACAAAGTGGCTTGGTGGCTGGTAGCAGGACATGGAGGTTTTGTCTTTATTAACAACCCCAACCAGCAGAGCGACGGGTCTTACATCACCATCAATCATCAACAATGACAGGATATACTTTATTACAGCAAAGAATAAAAAATTAAATTAAAGAAACCACCACTACAACTTTCCCTTTTATGTTTCTGCACTGTGTGAAGCACTCCTATTAGGTAGGTGCTTTGCCATTTGTTTATAATTCGAAATGCTGCTTTAGAAAGCCATGAGAGTATTTCCAGATCTAGCATTGTGTAATAATGTGCCTACCATTCACACAGGCTTTGCTCCATAAGCACTTAATGGCACCATGAATGCATACATTTTCATTACGAAAACGCCAACTCGACCCCAGCAGTGCCATCTATGCCACCTCTGTGATGCGGTGCCTTTCTACTAGAGAGGGGCAATAAAAGACATACGCCATTAACTGGCTTGATTATATGGTCATGTCTCATACTTCCTCCACTGCCGAGTCATGCTGTGCTGCACGCAGCATGTTTAGCAGTGATCCTTCATTAACCGACAGATCAAATTCCTCTGAGCGAGCCTTACCTTAATGAACTCCTCATGCTAACATAGAATGGACAACGTACACAACTCCAGAGCAGGACGTGATGCTGTTTAGCTTTATTCAAAACAGAAGCTAGCGACCATATTATTAAGCAATTTTAGCTCGTTTTAAAATATATATTGCTACAGAGCCTCAGAAATGTTATCTTTGAGTATTATGTGGATGCTACAGTGACTCCATGCATAACTGTCTCTCATCACCTGGTGCATTTCTTTAGTTTAATTGGCACGATTCAACTTTTAATTTTACTGCTGCTGTAACCCATCGATATTAGCCATCTAATGGACTCTGTTGCACTCTAATGAGCAAAGCAAGTAATTCTGTGTAAATTTGGGGTGGTAACACTAAAACAAATGCAATAACCTATTAACAGAGGCTTTGAAGTCTGTTGTCGCACTGAACACGGATAAGAAAAAGGAGCCTGAGGATCTTGATCAAAAAAAAAAGACACTCATTAGTCACTGATCGCCACAGCAATACAGTACGCAGAGACTTCTACAGCATGTCTGCAGGTTCATTAGGCAAAGAGACAGATCACAGAGGCTTCATTATAATGGCTGCTGATCGAACATGTAAGATTTTTTCCTCAATTTAATGCTCTGATACAACATTAGTCAAGTGATTATGAGACTGGATTAGTGTCCCAGAAAATATCCACAGCATCCTCTTGGTGTTTTTTTATTTGGTTTAATGAGACTTATTAGACTCTGTTGTTTATCAAATTTATTTTTGGGGGGTATAAAGTGAAATGAAAAAGGAAGTGGTAAAATAGGGAGAGAACATGGCTCCTAAGGACAATATGGGCATTTAGGGATTCTAATCATTCATTAAAAATTGTGTTTGGGACAAATAATTATACAGGCGCAAACAAACAAGCAAAAAAGGGAATGGTGACCCTTCAGCCCGCGCACAGCATTTCAAAAGCATTAAAGAGCCACCGGATACCTCATAACACAAACACCGGCAACATTATCAAAGGATAAATATGAGCTGATTACTTTAACATGACAACATTTGTATTCCGCTGTTGTCCCAGCTTCCTCTCCCACTTCAGCTCGCTGTGATCCAACAGTTACATAAGTCTTTAATCCAGCTGTGCTACTTCTCCTCTCCCTCTCCTCTCTCCTTTTCCTCCTGCCACCCTAATCTGCATCCCAAAAAAAAAAAAAAAAAAACCCTCTCATTTTGTCTGCGTTTAACACTGAGACGATAATACAGGCTGGAAATGGTGTGTCATAAAGAAAACGTTGTCTTCGGGTCATGCTGCGAGAATCAAAAATTTTTTAAAAAAAATCTGTCTTATTTGCCAGCACAAAAGATGTGTGACTGCTTCCTCTGATATGCACACAGATCAGCGGGCAAAGCTCAACCCCAAACACAAATCCTGTGTGTTTTTGTCACCTACAGCTGCCATTGCTCCACCAGTGCCCCGTCTCCAAAGGGTGCAGCAGACAGGAATAGACTGCCCTTAACTGTTTGTAGCAGTGATGTGGCAAACAGTAATCTAGCAGGCTGTGTTCCGCCTTTCAACACCAGTCAGGACTCAAAGGGCTGTAAAGTTGCTTGAAACCCTTCTAAAGCCCTTCAGCGCGCACGGTGCTGCTGGCACCTTTTTAATCAAAAGGGAAACATCGCTGGCCTTTCTCTTTTTATCTGCTGATTTTGTGAGAGGTCTCAGCATGAATAACAGTTTACATTTAGAGATAAGATAGAAGAGGGTTAGGATAGCAGGGGGGCAAGGGTAAATTACAGCTATATACAGCACAGTGGCAATAAAGCAGATACGGTTTCAAATATTGAGACCCTGATAGATTGTTGTGGAAGTTAAAAGCATGAGGACATAATTATGCTATTACATGGCATCAGCTATTTCTAATAAGTCCAGCCCCATACACACAAGCACTATCTTATACAGATTATGACCTCATGCAGTTCTCACAGTTTGCAACAGTCTAAGGCATCACTCCATCTCTATTATTACCAGATGAGAAAAGGGCGCTGAAGAGGAAGGGGAGCGGAGATCGAGAACACACATAACACACACACTCAGAGCACAGGTGGTCCTTTTACAGATAAATTTAATTATAATAAAATCTCTTCCTGCAACGACTGCTAACATACCAGAAGAAGTCTGTGTGCACACTCATGCACCTATCAGCCTCTATATCTCAATGCATGAGGGCTCAGCCATTCTTTTATGCAAAAAAAAAAAAAAAAAAAGTTTAACAGACTTAAGTTGTTACGCAACAAAAATGTCCCATTTAAACGTCACGCACCACAAAATCTCATGACACCACAGTTTTCTTTCCCGATATTGTTTGCCATGGTGCACAGGCTCAATTCATCCGCAATTTTTCAGCCAGGGAAGAGGTGAACGAGCATGGCTGAATGCAGTGCATTCCGAGTTTTCATCTAATTATAAAGGCGTATGCAACAGATCTGAACTATTAAAGCAATGAGCAATATTGTTTTGAGGCATCTACAATACTTTGTAGCGTCACTGACCAACTGCCAACATGTTTCAGTGATTTTATAGTTTTTAATGAATCTCTGTTGAAACAAAGACACCTGAAACAACAATGAAAATTTGTATTTATTTATTTTTAATCTCTAACAAAACTAGGTTACACATATATGGCATTGCAATGCTGTCCAGAAAAACCAGGAAGCTCAAAGAGCAGAGTAGCAGAAATGCTTCAAGCAAGAAATCCTGAATTGATGACAGTAAAAATAAGGAAACTAGTTGCAAAAGCAATGGCTCAAAAACCTGCCCTGTGGATTAAAGTGGGCTAAATCAAATTTGCATCCTCTAACGGCCAAAGAACATGCACAGTCTTTCTTTAAACAACACTGATAAATAATTAGAGGGCCGGCTACATTTGGGCAGCAACCTCAACTTGGGTGTACTTGGCTCCATCTGGACTAAATAAAAAAGGTTTGGACCCTGTCCTCATCTCATGTAAGGATGTAAGGTTTGTTCTACTACGCACCCTCATTACCCGAGCATCTGTTATAATACGGCAGGGTTAATAGAAGGTGATACACAACTAATAGGTGCCAAGGCAGTTATCATCCATCCCTCCAGTTGCAAATCAATATGCAGAGGATTTAATTTGTGATTAATTGCGTGTCTATTTAATATTGCAGGATGCAATTGGAAAAAAGAGCGAGGGATCGTAATGATGATGACCTCCCTCCCAGATCTGATTTCCCCTGATATTAGCCCTGCTGAAACATCAGTCAAGCTCCACGCACACTGTCGCTGGCCTGCTTCGCGCACATGTGCACACACATAGACACCAAGGGGTACGAAACAGGTTTGAATGATGAGAAAGATAACTCGATACACGTCACTGCACCTGAGCCAGATTTAAGGTCACGGGAAAGGGCCACAGACGGTAGCAGATTTACCAATGCTCTATACGTACACAGTCTGATGAGCATCACTGGGCCTGTCAAAACAGGTTCCTAATAGTCATTTTTTTTCTCCTCTAATTCAGGCTCCCACCGACCAGCTGCCTCATGTCCGGATAGATAATCAGTGGCTGTTGATGACAGAGACTGAGACCAGGCTAACCAGTAATATTATTACAGCTTGCAATCATTACTGTGTGGATATTTCCTGCTCACAAGCAGACCTGATTGCTCATTAGAGATAAATGTTGAAGCTTTGATGGCCTCGCCTTTCTTAGAACCTCATTAACTTAACCTGAGCAACTTCTATCAAGCTAGAGGTGTAAGGCACGGCCTCTCACTTCTTTTGAGTCCCAGCCACGAGGAAGTTTAGTATGCATGCATGCATTTTTTTTTTCTTTAATTCTACACATTCACCAGTCATCACTGCATCTGTAGCTACTGGAACATTCTCCATTCAGCTCCACAAAAACATCGCAAAGCCCACAGCCACCGGCCTGTGCCAAAAAAACAAAACAAAATAAAACAGCTAGAGTCAAATGTGTATTATTGCAGGAAGTTATTTATCACTCTCACACAAACCCTCTGAGCAAATGTACAAGCAACACGGTTTTAGGTGCAAAAACCAAAGCCATGAAAACGTGTATCAGAGCACTTCCAGTCACCGAGCTACACTTGTGTGACAGTGTTGACAGACACACTGGGGGCCTTACGTATCTGCTGATGATATTCCGGAGCAGGCTGAAATCCATCCTTTACACGGCTACACTGCGCGACAGAGACGTTCAGCTCTCCCTGGATGGATCTTCGTAAGCGCTACCTCGTGTAGATCTTTCCACGAGGATCCATCGCTCACCTCCTCCACCGTCGCCGCCGGGTGTCTGCGATAACGAGGAGCAGCGGTCTCTCAGTCACTCGGCTGCTCTGATTTTCATGGCATCCCTGGGAAGAGCCATGCAGCCCCCGAGAAATTACAACGACCCCTCACCAGCGCTGCTGGCTACATTTTACACTGAATTTTCAGCGCTTGCAAACCTCCAAACCCGCGGGTGTTCTTGCAGGGTGCTCTCCGTGTGACGAGTTCTTTTATTCTTGCAGGAGACGGTCCCTCGTGGAGTCTGTGTCCTGCTCTGTGTTCCCAGCGGTGGCCCTCGATGTAGCGGTGCTGCGAAACGTCCAAAGCGCTCATCTGTCAGATGACTACGCTGCGCGTGCGCAATGGCATGTCTGGCGTCTCCCGGGATGTTATATTGAATGCTGCACCGAACGAGCGATATCCACATGCAGAAGCACGAGAGGGAAGAAAACGAGCACAGGTCCAACATCATAAACCCCACGTCCTGAGATCACAGCACGATTAAGCCTGTTAGACCTGGACAACTTTAGGTCAGTCTGTTTTAAAGATGGACCATTCAGGTGGAAAGAAATGCTTACTTAAATAAATAAGTAAATAGGCATAATCAAAATTAGAAAATATTCTACTAAAATTCATACATTCAAACTGCAATCACGTAAAAATGTACATATAAAATAAGCAGCTGCTCCTCTCCATTAGTAGACTGTTATGCAGGAAAATGGAATTTACTTATGGCATATTTCAAGTGCTTATTACAGAGTGCTGTGCAAACTTTTTGACATGCACAAATGTGCAAACATTAATGGAAATGTAGTATATAAGGCAATAACAGATTTTGTACAAATGTAATGAGCTTGAAGGTCAGTATTTTGTATCACCATCGTAATTCTTTAACACAGCCTGAAATCTTAGACAGGCTTTCTTGTAATTTCTCAAAGTAGTCTTCTGGAATAGTTGACATGAACGACATTCAAAGCCCTTCTTTGGACACTGCCTTTTGTTCTGTTCTCTTGACAGAGAACAGAACAAAATTCTTCAATACTGTTAAAGTGCAGGCTCTGGGGAGCATAATCAGTGACTGATAGTGTTGCGTTTTATGATTTGTCTGTCTGGGTATGCTTTTACTGCTCTGGCAGCATACACTTTCCAGATGTTATATCACAGTGGATCAAAATCTGGTGGTACTTTTCCATCAGGCTTGACAAGATACCCAACACTAATGGCTGCAACGCCTCTCCAAACCAGGACAGAGCCTCCACTGTGTTCTACAGATGGGTGTAGATGGTCACAGCTGTACCTCTCCAGACCTCCTCTGCACATATTTACAATGATTTGAATTAAAAATTTGGATACATCACTCCATAAGACCTGTTGCCACTGTCAGCATATCTCCATTCCACAGCTTTTTTTAACGATAGATATGCCAGGTTGTCAGATGATAGCTTTTTGGGAATCACCTTGTTGCTGCAGTATTTTATGCCTCTCAAACTATGTTAACTTTAGATTCATCAAAAAATGGGAACAATTATGTGTTTTTGCAATAGGCTGCTGGTAACAAAGTTCGTAAACATACCATTTAAAATTGGTTCTTTGCTAGGTTGTCTGTTATGTGTAGAGCATTCATCTGAAAATGCTCAGGTACAAGGACTAGACAGAAAATGAATGAAAAAGCAGCCAATGCCCATAGAAAAAGTTGGCTGACTATTGCTTTTAAAATTTGAATCTGCAATTATCTCAGATTTACAGCTATTTCAAGTACAGCAATTAAGCTTAAGTTCAGAAAAAGACCATTTAATTCAGATGTGCCAAACATACAGCAAAGCCAGGTCTGCGAAATTATCCAGTCCTGAACACTGGATACAGAAATTAAACGTTTCAGAGAAGCATTTTTTTTCACTGTTTTTCTTTGCGAATGGATCATGTCATACAAGCTCAATTTCATCCAGTATCGTCACTTTTACCATCCTCTTATTGACAACAGTAAGACATTGCTCATTGACCAGCCATTCCACACAAAGGTAAGATGGATGAGTTGTAAGTGGAGTTGTGACCACTTACTTTTTTATCTGTTCACAAGAGGATGTGTTTATATGTATGGACAGAAAATCTTCAGAAAAATGAGTCATGAAGGAAGAAGACCCAAATGTTGTCCAGAATCCAAATCTTTCCTCCAGAAGGATACCATTCAGTGGGGCAAACAATCTAATTGAGGAGTAGGCAAACAACACAAAACAAGTCCACAAATCAGTCCAGAGGCCACACACAAGAACAAACGAGAGGAACCCTGGAAAGCAGGTAAGAAAACTGCAGGTATACAGACGAGGCTGATGACTGCTGTGGCAGACAAAACACAAGCGACACTAACAAGGGTGAGCTGAACAATCACACAAGGAAAATGAACAAAAACAGCAAATAAAACTCACAGGAATGCCCAAAGACCAGCGATAACAAAATAAATCAGGAAACGACTCGATGGGAGAACAACCTTGTTATGTTTATGCAATGGTTTTACTGGTCGAGCCGGTGGTCTGAGCCACACGTGGCCTGTGATCTAAAAGGATGTCAGCAACCCTGACCTAACTTTCCAGAAATAATTGCTCAAATGTGCCAGAGGGAACAGTGTTCATACTTCATGTTTTTAATAGCTCAATAACAAATAAATCAGAAGTACACTAGAACACACACAAATACAAAGTCTGCAGACAACCCAGCAGAAATCAGCCAGCTCTAAAGCACACAAACCTACAGGTGTATGCAGAAATAATATGATGAAGTAGAAACCTAAAATCTAAAATTAGCTCCACATCCATCTGAGGGCATAAATCTGGCAGCAGGGCAGAAACACATGATGTCTTCCCCAGATGCTTTTATTTGTGGAATTATGACTTTCAATTAGCACTGACGCTATTAATAATGCAGGGATCCAGCACTTTCATGTCTGACCTGCTAATGTTTAATGTGGCTGTTTATGTCCCTCAGGGCACTTAATGGCTGATGACGAGCCCACCTCGGCATGCAAATTACACAGTCTTCTGTCTTTATCGGCTGTGACAATTATATGCATGTGTAACGCCATTGTTATGTGATTGAAGTATTCCTTCTTGCCTCTTTTCACCTTTGTTTTCCCACAAAAACCTCATTGATAACAAGGGTTTAAGCTAGCTTATGAATGTCCCCACGGGAGGTATAAAATACTGTAGTGTATGCACTGTAATGTGTGCTATAAGGCTAACAGAGGGATTCCTGACTGATAAAACAATGTTTTCATGTTCACACACTATACCCTTGTTATAACAGGAGGAATGAATGAAAACCAAAAATCATTCTCCGAATAGCACATCTGGCTGGATCTGCTGTTTTTGTTTGTAACTGGCCTTAATTTCTAAAGTAAATGGGCCAAAAAAATGTACCAAAATTAGCAGCATATGATAATATTTCTGCTGTTGTTGCTGATATCATCACATAGTTCACTGGCTGTAACTGTTCCATCTGAGAGGAAGAACTAGGTCATTGTTCATTTCTTCCTTCTGTCTTCTGTGTGGGTGAAAGACAGCAGCATATGGGGCAGTGGGTTACTTCTCTGTTGCCATCAGGCTGTTGTGGGCAGAAACTCTTTAACAATTAACTTTCCCTACAGGCTCAAGAGCTCAGATTGCTCAGTATAAGGCATGCTTGTATCATATAGCAATCTTTACACTATAGTACATTCAGTAGTTGCCATGTCAGTATCTTTTTATCATGTTCTAATACTAATTAATCATGAAGTATGATGATATGATCCATAGTCACATTGATTGATTCATTTGAATTACAGCAGGTTTGCCAGGAATCTTTTTCTGCTAAAGTAAAAATATTTGTTGGTCTTGTAATAGCAGCTAATCTTGTGAGTCCTTCTAGCAGAAGGTTCTAGTATCAGTATCAGTAGTTCATGAAGTGATAACTGTTTACTGTTTTCAAATTACAGAGGATCTAATTATTCCAGTACACGAGCTCTGGTCGAATTCTTGTTGTCTGATCTCATTACAAAGTTTCAGTGTGTACTTTCGTGTTTTTAATCGCCATAATAACAAAGTTATTATGTATTGACATATAGACCATATGGACAAAATTACTGGCAGCCTACATTATACACCTATGAGCTGCTCAGCCACTGAAACCATGCCAGAAGCTCCCAGTACACTGTTTGTGTGCTGATGTTAATGCAATAGGAGGTTTTGGAGTGCTGGAGTTATTGAGGCGACTTTTACACACTTTGTGTGATCTACCACTTTGTGACTGAGTTGCTGTGGTTTCCTTACATTCACCTTGCATGAAAACTGCTTCCAGTTGATCGTGTAGTATGTAAGAAGGAAAACATTTTATCGTATTATAGTAAGAAGTCTAAATCAAGCCAAAATTTGGTGAGCTCTTTAGTGCAACCGATTTTTTCACAAATATTTGTAAATGTTAAATGCATGACTAGGTGCTTGATTTTACACACGTGGCATTGGGAGTGCAAACACCTGAATTCAAAGATAAAGAAATGTGGCCCAGTACTTTTGTACACGTAGTGCATCGTTTACAAAGTTGATAAATGCTATGAAAACACTAAGATGGGTGTGATTAAAGGCTTTGTGGTTTAAAGGTGTTTCATAAGTGCTTCTAACTGAAGATAGCTGGCTAAATATTCAAAAAATACTGTAAGTCATCAAGTTTCCATATGCTGACATGCAGTAGGGTAGCCAAACTACTAAAATATTTATAGAAAACATTTTTACATAACTTTTTTATGTGTGTTGTTTGATCATTGGTGCTCTTGTTACATTACAAGCAGCTGACAATGCACTGTTGTCAGCACTGGATACTATTATGCTGTAGATGTGAATTTGTTCTATTGGTTTGCTGACACTGGACATTAAACAATCTGTGAGAAATGGCTGGATCTTGTCTGAGACATAAGTCTCTTCTCAAAAGCGATGCAAGGATAAGTATTTTAATTAGAACAACAATAATACATTATTTTAGGTATGCAGGCCTTAAACTTATAATGTTGATTGCAATTCTGTGATTCGTTTAAATAAATATAAAAAGTGTTTGTAAAGCTTCAGTTGTAAGTATCTAATTTGTTTTCAACACAAAATATGACATTCATAAGGGAATGAAGACTGGATTAAGATCAGTTTATGTCGGTGCATTATGAGCTTTGACAGTGAATGTTTACCACAGATCCACTATGGTTATTTGGGAAAATCAAACGCTTAATAGATGGCTGGTGAAGGTTAGCTGGAGAGCTTCAGCATGAGCACTCAGGAAACGCTGGTATATGGTGCCATCTAGGGGTCGCCGTGCAAAAGCACATTAGATGCCTCAACGTGCAACACGCTTGTATCTGCCCCACGGCGCTGCTGGTGCAGATTCAGGTAATTTGGTAGCTAATTAATTGCTTTGATTAGCTGTAATTGGAGGGCCGTTGAAGCACGAGTTAACCCTGTATCATGGGAGAGCAAATTAACAGAAGGTAACAATTAGGTCTATA